GATGAGCTGTTGCTTCCCTCTCTTCCATCCGGGCAAAACTGCAATTGTCCCTGGTTGGTTCATCCTGGGGATGACTCAGAGGAAAGAGGCAGGAACATTGCCGGGGTGTGGAAGGGAATTGGGGGGAGGAGGAAATAATATGTCCCAACTGCTGCGAGTTTTGTCTGCTTTCCAACATTTGTTTCCCATTAGTTGTTGCTCTGCAAAAGCTGGAGAAGTGAAGCTCTGAAAATGGGGGGCTAAAACGGCTGCTGTGCCCGCCCTCCACACTCCCATCTCCCAGGGGCACAGAGGGCTGAGTCCCTGCCCCATTAATGCCGAATGCAAAGGACGCCCCCTTTCCCTCCCGGCCTCAGCCTTGACCTTCCCCAGGAGACCGAGGGCCAGCTCCACATCTCAGCCTAGCTCTCCCTTGCAGGGTCTTGCGAGAATGAGACATGGGGGCACTTTCCACTCTACGGTGGGGGGGGGGGAATGCAAGAGAGAAGCGTGAGCTTAATTTGCAGGTTTTATTTCTTGCAAGGCTTGTATTCCCAATACTGCCGAGTCCAAGGGAGGCAACTGACTGGAGCACGTGTCTGTCTCTGAATGGCCGGTTCAGGTCTCTTCCTTGCCTGAAGAGATTCGAAGAGGCCAGCTGCTCTTTGTCTTACTTGTTTGGTTATTTGGGTGGGGTCCACCACACACCTCTGTGCTTCCCCAAGCCTCTTCTTCCTCATGGGGCCTTATTTGGGCTGCAGCCTGGGGGCACTCTGCCCCTCCCCTCTGCCACAAAGGCAATGGACATAAAGACCTGCCCTCCTCTGAAGGACCCCCCCCCCTTGGTCACCAGAATGGGATCTTCTGGATCTGCAGGAAATGAGGAGGATGCAAAGTGGCTCTAGTGAGCAGGTTGGCTTGGTATCTGTGCCAGGGAAGACAATCACTGTCCATAACCCGTGGCTTCGTAAGCCTGTGGTTCAGAGCCCCCGCAATGCCCTCCCATGCCCTGAGCACTTGGCCAGCTTGCACTCTGGGTGGCATCCCTCCCAGGCAGGCTCAGAGAGGCGTCCACCCACCGTGCCACCTTCCCGCTCCACAGTCTCCTGGATGACAGAACTTGGGACATGCCAGGGCTTCTGCCGGCTTCCATCTGCTGCAGAAAGTTCTCAGCTGCTGTTTGGCTCTCTGCTGTCAGTCAGGGCGTATTTATAAATACAGCAGGAAGTTGAAATGGGGGGGGGAGTTGGCGGTCCAACACCATGCCAGGCTCCGTGTGCAGGCATCCAGGGCTGCAGGAATGCTGTCATCAGTCGAATCGATGCACAGATTTCACATGAGGCTTCTTACCCCTCAACATATCCAAAAACAGCCTGGGAGAGTGGAGAGGAGTGGAAAATTTATTGGAGGGAGAGGGAGAAAGAGCGAGACAGAGACAGAGAAAGGAAGCCTGTCTGGAAACGAAAAGGATCTTGTAAAAGACAGTGCAGCATCCCCAAATAAATTCTTTGGGATATTTTAAACAGCGAGCCTAGAATGGGTGAGCATGTGCAGAGAGCATCTGCTCTCCTCTAGGACAAAAAGTCTCTGATGCGAGAAGATTTGAGTTCAGGCATGTTTGCATCTTAAATTTCCTGAAGCAAATTGGAAACAAGGACTCTAATAGTCCAGGTTCTGCCCGTAGAAAGGAGCATCTCTGTGATGATGATGATGATGATGATGATGATGATGATGATGATGATGATGATGGAGGAGGAGGAGGAGGAGGAGGAGGAGGAAACTTGTTCTCTGCTGAGACCCTCAAATTGCTGCCGCTCTGAGCAGGCAGGACTGGCTAGATGGAGAACGGCTCTAAACTGGTTCAAGGCGATTTGCTCTCCTCTTGGGGGAAGGTTGGATGTCACACCGAGAGGCAGGAGACACTAGTGGGGAGCTGGAATTCTGGCTGGCTCTCAGCTCGTCTCCTCCCGGCTGCTTCGGGGGTCTCTTCTTTGAAAGCGCCCCGTCTGTGCTCTGTGCCTTGCTGAGCACGGGGAGTCTAGGCAGGGCCCTGGATGGCGTGCTCTCTCAGAGACGGCCACCCCGCCGCTGCGGCAGATCCTGGGCCCCATCCTGGCCATCTCAACTTGAGAAGGTGATAGTGGGAGAGGGAGGGAGGGTGGGAGGGTAGTCTGACCCAAGGGTCAGGCGACTTGTTTGGTTTTGTGCCTGGGTCTCTTAACAACCACTTTGCTTAGCAATGGAAATTCTGGCCCCATTTGTGATGATAAATCGAGGACTGCCTGTATTGCAAACGGGGTGGGGGATGGGGGTGGGGGGGAGAGAAAGAGTTTCTTTCTGGACATCTACCAGAACTTTAGCTGCCCCAGCAATCCTAACACTGGATTACAAATCACAATGTTTGGGTTGTTGCAGCACACTAACTCAACACCCCGTTGCAGCATGGTTTAGAGCAATGCAGCTGCTGAGTCCAACCCCCCCTTCAGTGGGGCATGCCCCGAGGCCTGGGACCCATGTTTTTTGTGAGTCAGCATCAGCCTCTTTGCACCAGAGGCCTGAAACTCACAGCACCTAGACTGAAGGTGCAAGGCTTCAGGTGAAAAAGGAAAACCTCTGAGGATGCCAGGATGTTCCCTGTTGATCTGGCTCCGGGTGAGCCTCCAACACCCTTTTCAGACTTTCCCAGCAGTGGAGAAGGAAGACAGGCAGATGGACAGACGGTGGGAATGCATTGGAGGGGGGGGGGCTCTGGAGTCTGGGAGAAGCTGCTTTCCCTCTCCTTGGCCTCTGCCAAGCTGATTTACAACCAGCAAACTTGTGGTTTGCTGGCCCCGACTCAGCTGTGTGGCTTCACCCTTGGCTCTCCTGCAGAAGACTTCATCCCAAAGAGACAATCTTTGCAGAGAAAGGACGGTTGGGGAAACCACCCTCCACGGGGGTCCCGCTGAGCCTCCTGGGAACTCTGGAGAATCCAGAAGGAGGGGGCAGCCCCATCTAAGCCAGAAGGGAGGGAGGTTGTGTTGAAGCTAGTTGTGTCCCTGAGGAAGGTCCCTACGCCTTCCACAAGAAGGTGCCCAGGACTGGGCTCCACTCAGCGATGCTCACCCACTCTGGAAAAAGAGGCTTCCCTGCATTAAGAAAGCTCGGCTCCCTGCATGGACAGCCCGTTCCCCCCCCCCCGAGGACTTAGGCTGGGCTTAGGTTGCTGTTCCCCGCCCTCCAGGAACATCTGTTTTGGCTCAGCTCCCGGCTTTATTTAGCACAGGCTGTGTCCTTTCCCGCTCTCTCTCTCCTGCGTGAAGTTCACTTAACGGTGCCACAGTTGCTGCGGATTAGGGATGATCCGTTGCCCCCTGAAAGCTGGCCACTCCGTCCCCTCCAAGAGCCTCTGGCTGACCCCAGGCAGGGCGGCAAAGGGGAGACTTTCCTTCTTTGGTTCTCCTCCGAGCCCTGGGCTGGCCTGGCCGTGAGACGACGTGATGGATTGCCGCAGCTGCTGGCACACTTGCCCGGAGCCATCAACCTCAAGTGCATCCTCTTTAACGGAGCAGGGGAAGAAATGAACTTGGCAGCTCTGGTGGCTGGTGGCAGGTGCCTTTGTTTAGATGTGGCAGCTGCTTGCCCCACCTTTCTCCTGCTCTGCCTCAGCCAGGTCACCCCAAACAATCCTCTGGAAGGGCCACGATGGGATGGGCAGAGACGACACCCCCCTTTGCAAGAGCAACCAGAAAGCAGCCTTTTTTGGCACAGCTGGAAGCAGCTGGCTGGGGAAGTGAGCAGGGGCCCAAACTAGCTTCAGTGGGGCTGGCCGCACTTGTCACTTGTGCCACCAAATGCCGTCCGTTTTCAGACTTCCTCACCACACAAATTTAATTTTAAGACTAAACAGCTCATAAAATTGCAATGTCTGGCCAGTGCTGGGATTCAGCCGGTTCAGTGGAACCGGTAGCTAATTTTTTGTTGCCCAGGCCCAGAACGGACTCCCAGAAGCGGCATCCACACAGAGAACCGGTTGTTCACATATTTGAATCCCACCGCTGCATCTGGCCCCACATAAACCTGCAGCATAAACTGCAACCTGCAGCCGGCCAGAATTCCACAGACAGATTTTGCAATGAAAAGGTGGAGATGATCTCAGGGGATCATGTGTTGTGGTTAAGCCTGGAGTGGTCTGGTTGGTTGGGGCTTAGAACAATGAGAGACCGCGGAGACCATGAAACATGGCTTAGCACTATGTGTGATGCACATCCCTGTGGCTTGTTGAACAAACCATGATTCAGCTCAAGAGGTGAATCCATTTTGAGTTATTTACCAGATCTGGGCATACAGAAAAGTTAGTTTTACTTGATATCGAAAGGGCAATAGAGATGAAAGTGAACCAAGGTGATTGTTCAACCAGATGCTACCACCAAAGACCAAATTTTTCTGCAGGGTGGGGGGACGGATGGGATGGAGTGGGGGGTACGACATGTGACCTTTAGGCTGGATTGGGGAGCCAAACACGACCCCAACACTGGGATCGCATGCTCCCAGTATCCAGTCCCCACTCCTAATGGGGTGGCCCATCTCCTGTAGACAGGAATGCAGGCGCCATTGTGGTTTATTCAATCCTGGTAAGCCATGTTTTATGCTGGTTGTAAGAACTCAGCCTCTGAGCTGCAGGAGTCCAATTCAGGAGTTGCAAAAGCTGGGGAATTGTCCTTTAGCCCGGCTAGTCTTGAACTGGGCGTCATGATGCCATTATGGCTATTTAAAAAAGGTATCTTCTTTGCATGATGGTGCCATGCAACCATCCTGTCCCTTGTGCCTCCCCCAGGCACCTGTACCAGTTGGTCTCTCTCAGGATGTTGGCCTTGACAACCGCACCTGTCCCAGCTCTGATCCCCAGGCCTTCTCGGGGCCTCTCGGCAGGCGGCACCAGCCCAGCCTCCCTGCCCAGCTGTCCATTGCCGTCTCTGGCTGCCCCTTCAGACCTGGCTGCTCACACCTCTCCCTTACCCCCTTCTCGCTTCCCCCTGCAGGCAGCGTGGAGAATCAGGCAACCACGATGCCCGACTCGCCGGCCGACGTGAAGACACAGTCCCGCTCCTCACCCCCCAACATGCCACCACCATCACCAGCGGTCTCCCAGGGAGCCACGCGGCACCCCACCTTCACCTCAAACCCCAGTGAGTACCCCCTTCATCCCTGGGTGCTGAGTAACGGGAAGGTGGGGGAAGGAGGTTTGCTGAAGGAAGCGTGGGGTGCTCCCTTCCTACCATCCTGGGCTACAGCCCCCAATTTTTCTGGGGTTCAGCTGCTTGTTGGTTGAGTTAGATAGTATTAACGGGACATCCTTAAAGTAAAATGGAATGCTTTGGCTGGGGGGAGGGGAAGTTCCTTGCACTGCTTTGATGGAAGGAAAAGACACCTTGAGGTGATCTCTGCTGATAGGTTCTGGCATGGCCAGGTCTCTGGATTTGGGCATGCAGTTCCTGACCTTCATGCGGGAAAACGCCTTTAAAGGGGGAATCAGGAGTGCAAAGTACGCCAAAATGGGAAGATTGCTTCCTCTCCCTCCTTCCCCCCTGCAAGGTCCCTCCCTTCCCTGCACAGACCTGGGCTCATGTTTTCTTGGGGGAGGGGGAAACTGCTGAAGGAAGCCCCCAAAGGCAGGAGAGAGGCAGGCAGGTAGTTCTCCTGCTGCACCAATCCCGCACCCAGATAATCGGCAGCCCGCCCATTTAGGAGAAGGGTTCGGGGCTTCTCCTTGGACCCAGAACAGCTTTGGGTGCCAGGCGGGTAGGCTTGGCTGCTGTCCACCCCCACCTTCTCTCTTTGGACCTCTGTCAAATGCTGCCATATGGCACTGCATTCGGAGTGCCAAGGAAACGGTCCCTCGCCCCACCCCGTGGGAAGCGCTGGCTTCGGCGGATGCCAGCCGGCTCGTTCTGCTCAGGGAGCCTCAAAGCAAAACGGGCTTTGCAAAAAGAGAGGAGCAGCAGGTTTGCCCCTGTGCCCCCCCCCACTGGAGCTGAATGGGCAGCCCACCAAAGGACAATCAGGAGCAGCGTCCTGAAGGAGAGAGGTCCTGATCCCTGGACTCAAACATTGCAAAGCCTTTGACTGTAATAGGAACCTACTCTGCACATACTTCATAGAGGGGATGCTTGAACCTTGGCGGGGTGGTTTAAAATCAGGCTGTGCTCTGTGGAACTTGCATGGCACCAAACACCTTTTAGGCTGGCCCTTTTTTGTGTCCCAGAAATAAAAGGCCTGGCTGGTCTTTGCTGGAGAACCATTGTTCCCGTGGCTCGTGCCAGGCTGTTTGGCCCCAAACGATCGTTAGAATGAATTGGATGGTTTTAAAGTAGGGCCCTGGTGATACACAGCTCAGTCTGCAGCCAAGGCCCACTTCACCCCTTCAAAGGCAGAAACTTGGGTGTGGAAGACCCGGTGGGAGAAAGAGGGAGGAGGCCAGCTAAGGGATGGCTGGGAAGCCATTCTGCACTTCTTCACTTTCTCCCTGGACACCTCTTGTTCCACTGTGGGAGGTGGGCAGTGGGGGCTGCCCTTTGGTGTTTGTGCCCTTTGAGCAGGTGGAAGCCCCCCCCCGTTGCTCAAACAGAGTCCTGCCCAGCGTGGGATCCGCCCTGCCTTGCATGGACTCCTAGCAGCTGCTCCTGTTCTGCCTGGCAGACTCAGATGGACCTGGAGCGAGGCTGATGGTCTTCCTGCATGGTCCTAGTATCACACACTCTTCACATGGCACAGGAGGATTCCATTCTTGGTCATCCTTGTTCAGATGTTCTCAGGTCACGTTCCCTTTGCTTAAGGAAGCCAGCCTGGAGGAGAGTCAGGCAGAGCACAAGGAAGAGATGAATTTTCCTGCAATCCTTAAGCTGGTTTGCGGTTTTCAAGCGCTTCCCCCAGTGCCGTAAAGATTCGCCCACCAGGGTCTGATTTGGATTTCGGCCTTTGACTTGGCTAGTGGGAACGCTGGATAGCTCTGGCTTGGCTGAGCTTGGCCACTCCTCGGCCAGCAGATCCCCATCTGGCAGCCCAGCTGCCCACGGCGCCCCCACCTTCTGGCACCCCACCTCCCTGTCCTGGGGATTGGGAGCGGCATCTGCGTGGCCAAGGTCACAGGGCAGTGGGCAGAGGCTGCATGGCAGATGGGCAGCTTTCTTCCGCTCGCAGGTGAATGCTCCAATGGCAGATGGATTGCTTTCTCTGCAGGCCCAGGGCTCCATGCCGAAGCCCCAAAATAGTTGTTGCGAGAACACTTGAGGTGCCAGATCGCTTCCCTGTTCAGCTTCAAGCTGCAGCGCCTGGCTCAAAATTAGCAACTTTGGAACTGAGGGAGAATTCCTCCTCTCCTCTCCTCTCCTCTCCTGAGGGTTGGCAGGCTGCATGGCTGGTCCAACGGCCGAGCCCCGGCCTTTCTGCAAACTTTCCCCAGGAAAGGCCGGCCTCTAGCTCAGCTGAGGATGTCTTCTGGGCACATGGGCAGCATCACCTGAGGACCCTCTGCAAGCAAATTTACACCCCAATGTGTAAAATGTTGATGCTAGCTTCAAAGCATGCTTAGTCTGGAATCTGAATGCCCCTTTCTCAGGTTTGCCTGCAGACTTGAAGAGTAGCTTGACTTTTCTCGAGCACCATCCTTACAGCTAGTCCAGCTCTAGTGGAAGTGAAGAAACTTCCGTTCAACCTGGTCCTGAGTTGCTGAAGCAGCAAAATCAACCCTACTTGCTTTGGGGGCTGCCTTGACCAAGCACTGCTTTCCAGACCTTTATCTTCAAAAAGCACCCAACAGTGTCCTTCCTTCACCCAATTCTTCATTTTGTCTACAGGAAGAGGAGACAGCCTGTTTTGGTTCTGGGGTGGGACATCTGCAAGCAAGGGGTGGGCCATCCATCCCCACCCTGGCTGTCAGTTGCCAACCTACTTTAGGATCTCCTGATATATTTTGGATCTTCAGGATACTAAAAGTAGCCTAAATACATGACAGTAAAGTGTGCTTTTCAGAATGCAAGTCTACCTGTTTCTCAGCCTGCCCTGCCCTCTCCACACTTTCAGCCAAGCCTTATGGGTTAGGTCACTGTTCTAGAGCCTATACTCTTGGATGTATGTGGGAAGCAGGGGGGAGGAGGGTAGAATCTTACAGATGTTGCTAATTCCTTTTGGGGGCAGTTCTGCATGGCTTCCCTTTTTGCAAAGTGTCTTGGTTTATACTGAAGCGATATCCTTGTGACGTACAGCTTGATAAATGCAGGACTGATGTAGCACAGAAGAGAAGAAACTTTTTTTTCATGAGGGGGGGTCAAAGGGCAGCCAAGCCTGATTTGGCAGGAAGGCTGCCAGTTGCTTACCTCTAGCTCTAGAACGCCAGGATAACAGGCGAGCACATCAGTGGGGTCCTCAGCAGGACTTTTGCCAAGGAAGGGTCCCCTGAGCCTGCTTCTGGATTAGAGCTGGTTGTTTCCGGACTGCCGTCTCCCACAAGCCAGGGAGATGTTCCTTGGTTTGGCTTTGCTCTGCCCAGCCCTGCTGCCTCTGAGCCTCTTGGGAAAAGGGAAGAGGATTTCTAAGGGTTTTGTCCCTGGAAGTAAAACGACTGCCTCCAACTGGATCTCCCTACGGAGACCGTAAAGCCCGACCGCCCCCAGCGATGAAAAGGCCTCTCCCGGCCTCTGGTCTCTCCTGATAGCGTATGTTTTATTTTACTTGCAGATCGTGACGCTGGGCCGCCGATGTTTCTCCCTCGCGGCCGATTTCATGGTTGCCTGAAATGGTCCATGGTGTGCCTCTGTAAGTAAGATGAAGCAAAGCCTCCTCTAGAGACCCAGAGGCTGAGCCCAGCTTTGCTTGTGCCCTTAGAAGAGCCGGGCTGCGGGTGGGGAGGATGCCAGGCAGCAGCACTCAGATGCCGGGGCTGGGGAGGGGGTGGATCCCTCCTGGGTTGGGACCCTTTCCCATTTGCTCCGTGCAGGTCTCTAGTTAGCAGAGTAGGGTCCCAAAGGTTGACATGGCAACTGCCAGGGTGGGTTCCAAGCTCTATGTTTTTCATGTGCCCTGCATGCAAAATGCAAAGCACATTAAAAAGAGGTGGAGCTTGGAGGCAGCCATCACCCTCTTGACTTTCTCGAGCTGTCCTGCAACAGCACTGCTGATCGCTGAACCAGGCTAACGAGGAATTTAACCCGGAGGATTGTACTTAGGATTTCAGTTTTCCTCTGGCTCTGCTCTGCAACAGGCCCTTTTAAATTTGTCTTCATTTCCATTAATGTCTGTCTGTAAAGGGTCAGTGATTCGTTGCGGGAGAGACCCCGATGCAGCCGCACTTCAGTGCTTGTCCCTTCCTGGTCATCAAAGGGCGCAATTGATTGAGTCAGGATAGGGAAACCTTTGGACTTCCTTCACAACATTTATTTTGGTTGATATTTGCCGAGACCGAACAAATATAAGAAATTTTACGTTCCTTCCCTCCTTCATTTGCTGTGAGATGCAAAAGGGTGACCCTGTGTCTGTTCTTCCTGGCCCTACACAAACCATTAAGATGTCTTCAAGGAAGCTGGACCACAAACATTTTAATGGGGTTGTTCCCTGGGACAGCTGGGAGGTTTGTGGGCATGCCAGGCCACCACGTGCAAACCCAGACAGCCCCTGTGAAGAGGCTGTTCCAATCCCAGCATCAGGGAAGGAGCCAGGAACGCCACCCTTGCTGAGGAAGCCCCAGAACTGTTATCTCTGGACTAAATTCATGGGTCACTCAGGAAGTGGTTGCTCTCCAGGCTTTGAGGATAAACTGAGCCCCCCTTTTCCTTATTTCACACTGCTTTGCTTTCGTGTTCTTTGCTCCCCTGGTTGGTTGTCTGTTCCTTAACTTGGTGGGTCTTTAGTTGTGAGCTGTCCAGACTCCCTGGGGAGTCGGATGCTCTAGACACTAAGTAAAAGAAAAATAGAACAACTATGCATCAGGTGGGGGGGAAGGACGCAGGAGCCACCCCGTGGGTCCCATCTGGACCCAGCGCTCCCTCGGTTCCACAAGTGACGTGGCCGTCGTCCTCAAGCTCCCTCCAGGTGCTTTTCAGGAACCAAAGCCCAGTGCAGAACCCAGGACGTGCCTCCTGGCTGCCCAGATTCCCCCCCAGGCAAGCTAGAGAGGGGGCTGGTGGTGGACCCCTGGACTTTTCTGAAGAATCCCCACCTTTAGCTGAGGGGAAGCCGCTGGGCCGCCTCCACCCCTGAAGCCCCGGCTCCAGCAACATATGTGAAGTTTAACTTAGTAACGCACCTGTCACTGGAATAAAAGCCGTTGTGGCCGGGCGGTTATTTTCGGCACCTCTTTAGCAAGGGGCCGCTCTCGCCCTGCCGAAGAGGCAGTCGGAGCCCGAGGAACGCAGCAACGGCCTGGACGGCTGCAGCTTTCCACGGCAGTGTAGTAACAACGGCAACGGTTAGTGGTGCGTGATGAGTCTGGGCGAAGGTGGCCTCTCCCCTGGCCTACTTGGGAGGGAGAGTTTTCAAAGGTTGGGGCATTTGAGGCTGGCCTTTCGTCTCTGTCCTCTGCCAAGCAGGTGGAGACTGACGGCCCCTTCTCCTTTGCATGTAGGCCAAGGGGCTGCGGGCATCCGAGGTGGCCACTCGGTCGATCTTTCAGGGGCAACGACATGGCTGTGCAAGCATGCCACACCTGCTGGGTCAGGAATAGCAGGGGGCCCAAAAGACTGCAAGCGCTCCACCTGGATGAAGCCAGCCCTTAGCCCCCCCCCCCGCCTTCAGTCTGCAAGAGCCAAGGCAGGAGGGCTGGGCTCAGGTTTATTTTTCTGGCCTAAGGACACGTCCTCTTGTCGGGTCTGGAAATAGTTGGGGCCATGGGCAGGCCCTCTCCCTCCACATTCCTGCCTGGATGGGAAATGAACAAAAACATTTTGTGCGAAGCGATCTTGAGATGAAATACAAGCTGACTGCTGGGAGGAAATCCCTCTGTGGAGTAAGAAGGCAGCACCAGCCTGCCTGTGTTCACATGGAAGTGAAGCGGGGCTGTCTTTTAGGAGGTGCCTTGGGAAAGATCCCCACACAGTCTGGGCTCTCGTAGCAGAACCAGATTCATCTCCCTGCTTTCCGGCAGGACTCTCCATCTTTTGCATTACCCTTCTGTGGTTGTTCCTCTTGCATTAGCTGCCAAGGTGTGTCAACCAGGAGCATCTCTCAGGAGACTCTCAGGGGGGCCGGATAGCACTCAGCCCCGCCTCCTTAAAGTTTATTTAACGGAATCCCTCCCTCTTCCATCTCACTCCTTCCTTTCTGAAAGCAGTGGGGCACAGTGTGATTTTTGGAAGCAAGAAAAGCCCTCATGAAATAGATGTTGTTCTTCTCTTCGAAGACATACTTTTAATATTTCAGTGCTTAGGATCATTTTATCAGCTTGACGGTTTGCTGGCTTATTTGCCTTCCTTTGTTGTAGATCTGCACGAATCTAGAATTCTAGGTATCCCCCAGAGTGAAAGGCAGGATGGCGTTTCCTTAGCCATTGTTTAGAAGAGGGTGGCCACCGTCTTCTTCTGGAATAGCTGCTCACCTGGCACACTGGGCTTCCTGGCCCAGAATCTTTAGAGTTTCCCTGCCTGATCAAAGTCTCTACTGGTTTTCATCTCTACGTTGACTTCAGTCTACGCATATTTAAAATGGTCCATCTCAACCTCTCTGAGTTCACCTTCCAGATCTTATTTGACCTCCCTCCGTCTCCCAAGTGATGCTCGCTCAGTTCCTTAAAACCTTCTTGGTCCTTTCCAGTTATCTTATTAGTTAATAGTTTATTACTTATTAATTTAAGATTCCGGGATATTAAAATGCTCACTTCATCCGAGGTGTGATGAGAGGTTGGGAAGGGTCTACAGGGCCTGGTCGAAGCCCCTGAGCAGTTTGGGGGCAGTTGGTGGGCTTAATGGAACAGTAACAGGAGACCTACTTGGAAGGAAAAATGAGGGGTCCGGCTAAGATGCTTCAGGCTCCAGCAGCAAGGGTTAGTCGTATCCAGACTGCTCTCCCGGGAATAAAAGGACGGGAAGGGAAAGATGGAAATGTACTTGGAAGTTCTACTTCCGAAGAATTTTGGATTTTCCCTCTTGTCCTCCAACTAACTCCCTCCACGATTCCTTCTTCCCTCGCAGTGATGAATGGGAGCAGTCATTCTCCAACGGCCATCAATGGAGCCCCCTCCACGCCCAACGGCTTCAGCAACGGGCCGGCCACATCCTCCACGGCTGCCCTCTCCAACCACCAGCTGCCTCCGGCCTGCGGCGCTCGCCAACTCAGCAAGCTGAAGCGCTTCCTCACCACCTTACAGCAGTTCGGCAGCGACATCTCTCCGGAGATAGGGGAGCGGGTTCGAATGCTGGTGCTGGGCCTCGTGGTGAGTTCCCGGCCGCTTTGGGTGGTGACAAGTCCAGGGCCCTGGAGTACAGGCTGTCCTCGACTTACAACCACAGTTGCTTAGTGAGACATTTGTTAAGTGAGTTCTGCCCCATTTTACAACCTTCCTTGCCACAGTTGTTAAGTGAATCAATGCAGCTGTTAAGTTAGGAACATGGTTGCTAAGTGAAGCTGGCTTCCCCATTGTCTTTGCTTCACAAAGTGGGGATCAGATGACGCTGCGACGCTGCGACCATTGTAAATATAAGTCAGTTGGCAGGCGTCTGAATTTTGATCCCGTGACTCTGGGGGGAGGCAGCAACGGTCATAAGGATGCAAAACAGTCATGAGTCACTTTTTTCGTAACTTTGAATGGTCACTAAACAAACAGTTGTAAGTTGAGGGCTAGCTGCATTGGCAACCACCCTCCTGAGTCAGAGGCTACCGTAAAAGCCCTGGGGCTGCTGCTTCCACTTAATGCAGTGCAGAACCTTAACACACCTGGCAACCGAACAAGCACGCCGTTGGGGAAGCCAAGGTTTAATTCGCTGCACACCTGAGGCCATCAGTTTGCTAGCTGTGCATTCAGCCGCAGGGGGGGTCTAGAGAGGAGGGGTCAGATTGTGACGGCACCTGTGCTTGTTTTTGTTGCAACCGATTAACGCGGCTGCCATTTTGTCAGTGGGCAATGTGCCTGGGCCTTGTTAACCTGCCTTACAGATGTGATGAAATGGTTCTGCCCAGAATTCCCAGCATGTGGTTTGGGAATTCTCTGTGTTACTATCTAAGCACTGAAACATGTTAAGTGGTCAGCAAAGCTGACCTTGAAGAGGACAGCCTGAATAGAGGCCCTTGTGGCTTCATCGGGAGTTCATCCGTTGACCAGTTTTGATGTTCACCTTGCAGAATTCCACATTGACCATTGAAGAATTCCATTCCAAGCTCCAGGAGGCCACAAACTTCCCCCTGCGCCCTTTTGTCATCCCGTTCCTGAAGGTAAGATTCCTGCCCCCCCCCCCGTGTGATTCAAGTGACACTGATTCATTTCAGAAGGGGAACTTTGCTACCTCAGCAGCAAAGTTTTTATTTAAACGGAGGCTGTTGTTGAAATGGATCCCTGTGAGCTGATTGTTCCAGCCCTCTCAAAAACACACAATTTTATTCATTGCACGGAAAACTTTTATTGTGGAAAACCCTCCTGGTGGTCAGCACAGCCACCCAATAGGTGATCCCCCCTTGTGGATCTCAGCTGGTTTCCTACTAGCAGCACCAGGGGAAAAAAGAGGATGACTCAGAGAGGAGCCATCTTCTCCCACGGAAAGTGGGTGGTGTTCCCAAGGACGCTTGCAAGATCACAAAGGAAATGGCTCCCAGATGACGAGGAGGGCCTGTTGCAACTCTTTTGCGTGTGGAAATTCCCAGGACAACCTCTGAGCCTGAGGAGCTGTGGCCAGTCTAAAAGTGACCATTCTGGTTGAATGGACAAACCCTTGGACCGGACAAATCTCTCCCTTGCTGCCTTTTCTGATGGGCAGCGATTCTCTTCAGCAGACATCTCCAACCTTGGCAACTTTACCGCTTGTGGACTTCAAGCTGGCTGGCTGAGGAATTCTGGGAACTGAAGTCCACAGGTCGTAAAGTTGCCAAGGTTGCAGACGCCTGCTGAAGAGAATCGCTGCCCACCAGAAAAGGCAGCAGAAGCCTCGCTGAGCAAAGGGCAAAGTCTTGACGCTCGCAGGGGCAGCGGTCTGCCAGGCTCCCTCCCCCCCCACCCCCCCAGCTGTGGGTCCTTCTGTCCTCTTGCATTGATTTCTCCGCCCCACCCAGTTCTTTTCAAATATTTTTTGCTTAGAGAAGAATTGGATGATTTCAGAAGGGGGTGCCAAAGCAAGGAAATGCTTTGTTTTCTAAAAGCCTCATATCTTTAATTTAGTATGGGTTCTAGATTTATTAAATATTTCTGGAAAAGCAAGTTGCCCTTCAGGAGAATTTGCCTCTAGAAATATCAGCTGACCTTGCTCTTTAGAGGCCTAAAAGAAAGAAGCTCCTGTCCTCTTCCTTGCCCAAAGAGGGCATCAAAAAGAGGATGACAGCCCTGAGATCACAGCCTTCCAGCTTCACAACTTGGGAGTGAAAGCCCCCCCCCCACCGGTGATCCCAATTCAACCCTGGTTCCTTTGGGTTACTTGTTCCACAGATCCCACTTGGGCGACCAACAACATGACTGTACAGCATTTGGGGAAAACTGGTTCACTCCTCTGACTCTCTCTGGCGGGGGATTGGGGCTGCCTGCAAGCCTTGCACACACAAAACCTTCCTCCCTGCTTCTTCTGCTCTCCAGCACCCTCTCCCAGCTGTCCTCCACCCGGGGCTCCAGATGTTTCTCATTATGCTAACTCAAAGCAGGCGGCCTCCAGCGTGCCTTTCCCAGAGATGTTATTTATTCCTTTTTATTATTTTTCTTTCTGGAAATGTGGAGCCGAGGCCAAGAGAGGGAGAAGGTGGCGGTGGAGGAGGAGGAGGAGGAGGAGGTTTGCTGTCCTGGAATCCACAGTGGGGCATTTTGTCAGCTCTAATGTGTTCAACAGATGGCGGTTTGGCCAGCCATTGGCTGCTTAAGTGGGAAACCATGGTTGGCTGGTGGCAGGACTCTGCTCGCCTGCTTAACCACTTCGGTGGATGCTCTTGCCTGGATCCAGGCTCCGTGAGAACCTCACTGGGCAGGGAATAAAGCAGGGAGCCCTACTTTATTTACAAACACTTTCTGCTAAAAGCATGGGAGATGGGAATAAGGAGCCCGTAGATCCCGGGAACCAGAAGGCTTTCTCTGGAAAGATAATAAGATGAGGCTCCAGAGAGCTTCCTGCTTCTCTGGAATGAGAGAGCAGGCACTCATCTCCAGAAAGATTCCTGTGGAAAACCCACGGAGAGGAGAGGCGTGCAAGCAGACCAGGCTGCCCCCTTGATCTCTCTTCATGGCTTCTCTTGCCTGCTTAGGCCAACCTGCCCCTGCTGCAACGGGAACTTCTCCATTGTGCCCGCATGGCCAAGCAGAGCCCCGCCCAGTACTTGGCGCAGCACGAGCAGCTCCTGCTGGACGCCAACGCCTCCTCGCCCATCGACTCCTCGGAGCTGCTGCTGGAGGTCAATGAAGGGGTCAAAAGGCGGACGCCAGACAGGTAGGCCAGCCTAGAGCATGTGAGAGAAGAAGGGAGGGCAGGGGTGGGTGTCCTAGACTGGGGACAGCCTTGCCAGGCATTATTCTTAAGAAGGACCTTTGACCTGCCTGGCGCTTCTAGAGGCCAGGTCCTCATCCAGGAGGGCCACAGTCTAAAAAAGGGGGCTGATAGATGGAGAAAGGAGCATCTCCAAGGCAACTGGTCACCACTGAGAAAGAGGCAAAGCCAATCTGGGCCCTTGGGCTCCCCTCATCAGCAGGCACCCATGTCCTGACATCTTTGCTCCTCAGGCTGAATGACGGACAGTGAGGATCCAAGCTCTCCAGGACGGCTCCTTCCTGGAGCTTAGGGGTTGCCCGCCCCAACTAAGATGTACTTCCTAGGAAGCAGGGAGCACCAGTCTCCCCCTGGCTCCCGTTAGCAGAGTGATAGAGGTTGGGGGACTACACAACTCCAAAGATATATTGGTGAATTCACCAAGCTTTTAGGTCAGCCATAACCCAAAGCTGGTCACTCTCAAACACCCTTTTGGAGGCGATCAAAAGGGAAAAGGTTGAACTGCAAACATTCCTCCTGCAGAAGAGCCCAGTGACCTCTTCTAAAGGACCAGCCAGTTGGAGATGCCCAGGCAGCAGCATTGAAGTGCTGCGGTCACTTCCAGGGAGGGTTGCCATTCAGCCAGTTGTCATGCAGGCTGTGTGAACCCGGTCGTTCTGTGAAGGTGGAACAGGCTGGCTTGGGCATTGCTGGCTCTCTGTTTGGCCAGCCTGGTGAATCTGCCATAGTGCCTTGACTGTAGTGTGTGTCTTTGTGGCCCAGGACCAAAGAGAATGGCTTGGACCGCGACTCCCTGCATCCTGAGCACCTCAGCAAAAGGCCTTGCACCCTGAGCCCTGCCCAGCGGTACAGCCCCAGCAACGGGCTCAGCCATCAGCCCAATGGGCTGCCCCACCCCACCCCTCCTCCCCCCCAGCACTATCGCCTCGAGGACATGGCTGTGGCCCACCGCTACCGGGACACCTACCGCCCTCCGGATCCCCGGGACCTTCGGGAGCACCCCCGGCCAGCTGGTGAGGGAGCACCCAGGGGCAGCATGTGGGATGGGCAGGGGTCCAGGCAGGGAAACGTGGGCTTGGTGGGCAGGTCCCCCCAAAGGATTGGACCCAGGCAAGGGAGGAGCCTTGGAAGAGCTGGGAAGAAATGACAAGGATGGTGCGCAAAAGAGCTTAGTTCCCATTCCCCCCCCCCAGGTTTAAGTAGGGGTGGAAAATAACTCTTGCCAAGCAGATGAAGGAGGTCTTTGCTTCCACTTCTGCAAACAGCCGCTCTCCTCTTTACGAGAGGCAGAAGCAAAGGGCGCCTCTGATGATTGCACTAATGTCCCTGCACAGCAGGGTCCTGAAGCCCCCTGCAAGTCCTCAAAACAAAAGGACACCTCTCCCTTCCTCCCAAATTCTAACTTTAAATACAACAAAAGAAAGGAACTGTGAAATAATACCCAGGGAGCAGCCATCCTAGCTCTATTTAACGAACATGATTTGATTTAAAATTGCATTCCCATGGAATTCAGGGTTGCCCCAGCCTTGCCTAGTTTGGGGAGACCACCTGCAGCCTGCCAGCCACGGAGCCCTGGCATCCTCCAGGTGTGCCTCCGGGGGTGTGCCCACTGGCAGGAATTTGGGTAAATATCCCTTGGTTCCTCTGGGACTGGAGGCTTCATAATGGGTGGAGATCCTTTCCTTCTACCCCCACTCATGTCGCTTCATCCCTCAGCCGTCCACAGTTCCCGGCAAGAGGAGGTGATTGACCACCGGCTGACCGAGCGAGAATGGGCCGAAGAGTGGAAACACCTCAACAATGTACGTACAATGGTTTTAAATTTTATTATTTAGTGAATTTGTATACAGCCACCCATCTCATAAATGTGACTCTGGGGGGCTCATGATAATTAAAAACATCAGAAACCATAACAAGTATGAATAAGCACAATGACTATATAAAACACATTATTACAAACTCAAGGAAACATAAAGCCAAACTGCAGTGAGTAGCTGAGAGTACTAAACATCATTCCATTTAAGACACCCCTTGCCAAGGCCCACTTCCACTGTTGCCCCCCCCAGGCCCCGGGCCCCAGGCAAGTCTTTGGGCCCTTCCTAAAGGCCGGGAGGACAGGAGCCCCTCTTGGCTCCTGGGCAATGATGTTCCGAAGGGTGGGCACCGTGAATCAACTCTGTGGGCTTGGCAATCCTTGGCACCCGGGTAAGAAGTTACTCTAGGAATGTCCAACCTTCTTGTCTGCCTTCTGATCAAACCAGCGGAGGCTTGCAAAAGGGTTAGAACAACTGGGGGAAACCCTCAGGTTCTGCTGGTAGAGGATTGTCTGTACCTCAGGAGAAAATGAAGTTTGAAATGTTGGCTGTTGGTCTGTGGGAGCCGCTGGGGTCCTTCCCTTTTGTGCCTTGCAAATCCCAAGCCTGCCCCCCTCACCCCTTCCCTGCTCTGATCCTGATACATGAATGACTCAGTCCAGTTTTTTTCTGTTTACTTAGCCTCCCCCTTTTCTGAATGAAGCAGTCTCAAGATGGCAAACACTAGTTTTTTTTTTTTTCTTATTTTTAGTCATTTCTGTTGGGGTTCATTCAGCAGATTGGAATCACAATAAATCACTGTGTGAAAAATAAGCCACAAAGTTTAGGAGGGGCCAGAAGGAAAGGAGAGGAGGGACCGTATCAAATAAATGTCCAAGACTGCCTTTGGCCAATTGACTCTCACGCTGGCTAGATGGATGTGAAGCTCCTTCAGAGCTACCTGGCGAAGGAGGAGGGAGGGAGGGAGAGCAATGCTCACCTCCCCACTTTCTTTGTGATCTGCACCACGGGCTGGAAAAGGAGGAGGCCAGGCTGGGCGAAGAATTGCTGCCGCCCCAACTGTCATATCTGGCCTTCTTCTCAGCAGCTCCTGAACTGCATCATGGACATGGTGGAGAAGACACGCCGGTCCCTCACCGTGCTGCGCCGCTGCCAGGAAGCTGACCGTGAGGAGCTCAACCACTGGATCCGCCGCTACAGTGACGCCGAAGACATGAAGAAGGGGCCGAGCCCTGCCAGCCGCCCCCTCAACAGCACTGCCAACATCGAGGCACCACTGCTAGGTACCCCAGCAAGGGAGGAGGTGGGCTCAGGCCCCCAGATGGAGGCCCTTGACTCCAGGCACACAGAGTGTGGCTTTCTCCCCCTTCACAGACAGGCTCTTGTCTGTGAAGGGGCCCCTTCCGCCTGTCATAGGCTCTCTGGAATTGGGCCTTTCCAACAGCCCCCACTGCCAAGGCCTCTCAGCAGAAGAGGGGGTGGGGGTGGGGGAGAATGGGGAGACTGATGACCACTAGGTTACCACCACCCCCTCCATTAAAAACTGGGAATGAGCAGAGAGGATGCAGTCTCCTAAGCCCAACATCTGCTGGGGCATCTGATGAAACAAAACTCATTTTGTGTTGACTGAACTGTGGTTTATGGAATAAACCATCATCAGCTGGGTTTGTAGAACAAGCCAAGCCTTCCTCCACATTCTGTCAACCAGAGAGGCTGGGCTAAACCACCTTAAGGCAGTCCAAAGCAAGCCACAGGATGGATTAATGCAAACTCTAACCTGGTCAGTCTAGAACAGGGGTCCCCAACCCCCGGTCAGTGGATCAGTACCGGGCTGCGGCATGCCAGCCCACACAAACAAGGAAAGCCCCATCCACTGGATGCAGGCAGCACACAAAACTACGCCCCCTCCAGTCCACGGAAATACCTCTCTCCACGTAACCGGTCCCTGGTGCCCAAAAGGTTGGGGACTTCTGCTCTAGAATGAATCCTTAGAAGTCCTGGCCACAATTCCTGAGATGGTTTTCAAGGGGGTTGCACAAACCTGTGGGGTCACCCCTGGGCAAGGGTCTTTGTTTGGCTGTTAGGCAGGATCCCCTATTGGCACCACCCTGCTGCCCACCAAGGTGCCCTGGCCTTCCTCCCTTGCATCCACTTGGCTTCTGGGCATGGGAGCTTTTGAGCTCAACAGAGCTGGACCCGAGGAACTGATCCTTGTTGCCAAGATTTTGCCCCCACCTCTTTGCAGATACCTGTGGGTGCCACCATCCTCTTGGCTGTTGGTCATAAAGCTTCCCCCAATGAAGCCACAGTCTGGCCCCCGACTGTCCAGGATGCAGTCAGGAGTGCTGATAATGCAAGCCTGACTACGCTTGGGTTTTTCCAAAGCAAGAAATAACAAATCAGTTCGTTCAATGCTTCTCAACAGATTTTTCTCATTCTGCCATTTCCCCAGATGCTCATCGTGAATTTGTATCCAGGCCCCTGTCTGGCTACATGCCGGAAGAAATCTGGAGAAAAGCTGGTGAGTTTTAGGGGAAGTGAGGAAAAGCTTCTTGTAGAAAATCGGCTCTTGTGTCACCAAGCAGAAGCCAAAAAAGTCCCTGGAATGAGCGATTGTGGGAACCCTGGCTCATTATCCTGAACAAGGACTGGGAGAGCTACTGTGGCTCTCAGCCTGGTAGGCGGGCAGTCCAGCTGCAGACCTCCTTTTGCTGACCAAGCCCAGCATAGCAGCATCCCTTGTTTGGCCCTGCTTCCCCAGATGGAGCTGCCCTTGGGCCGAGTTTGAAGCTGCTTCCTCAACCTTAGCAAATTAGGGATGTGTGGACATCCAGAATTCCCCAGCCCTCCAGTTGCGGGGGTTGAGAGACGCTGCTCTGAAGCATTGGCAGGGCGGCTGTTATATGTAGGACCCACAGTGCTCTGCAGACCATCGGAGGAGTTTTGCTCTGCTGGCTAAAGCAAGCAGCCCTTGCGAGAGAGGAAACATCTGTAAGGTATATGCAACATCCCATCCGATGCTGCTTTTACGGGGTTCAGCCAGGAACCTCCTTTGCCTGGGAATCCCCTCTCCCCGGTGCACCTATCTGAAATAGATGATTGTGTTCCAGTGGGCTCCCACCAGCCAGAAAATGGTGCAGAGGAATCAGTGGCCAGCCTTGCTTTCCTACCACTAAAAGTGGGGTGAGGGCTTTGGTCCCTTCAGGGTGCAGTGCAGACTCTGCTTAAGCCTGATGGAGAATGGCTGGCCACCTCGGGACAGGGGGATTAAAGTTGCCACTTTCCCCTGACGGATTCTGCCATTGAGTTTGCCCCCTTCTCCAAGCCAGTTAAAAACCTAGCTAGTGGCTCCTTTCACACAACCCATTTACTAGTTGAGCAGTAGCCTCAGGTAGATTTTTCTTGTAGGCCAGCATCTTAGGCAAGTCCAGACTACAATACAATGGGTTAGGTGAAGTCTGAAAGTGGCTTAATTAGTCATCTGGTGAGGGATGTTGTGTGAATGCCATTTGGGTGGCTTTGCTTGTCACGGCTTCCCCGGGGAGGGGCTGCAGGAGTGAATTACGAAAAAGGTGAACCTGTGTAGGAATCAGTTTTTTGACAGTGTGGTGCTTATTTTAGAGTTTAAACTACAGTTCTTATATATCTCACCTGAAACTAGCTCCCAGTATTAGCAATCCTGGCCAGTGAGGCCTGAAAGGACCCAGAAGGGGGCCCTGGACCGTGCAGGTGGCCCTGGGGCAACATATTGACCCTCCTTTTTCTGGAAGATCTCAGACCTTCTTCAGAGCAGTGGTGACACGTTGCTCTCTTTGGTGTTGCTTGCCCTGACCGAGCCTCCTCTATCATTTCTGCCTTGCTCTGCGCTCTGCCTTTCAGAAGAAGCCGTGAATGAGGTGAAGCGTCAGGCCATGTCGGAGCTGCAGAAGGCTGTCTCGGATGCAGAGCGGAAGGCCCACGAGCTGATCACCACGGAGCGGGCCAAGATGGAGCGGGCCCTGGCCGAAGCCAAGCGCCAAGCTTCCGAGGACGCCTTGACCGTAATTAACCAGCAGGAAGACTCCAGTGAGGTAGTGACCCTCTCTAGTCCTGACCTGGAGCCGGGTGCCAGAATAGCGGGCTGCAAGCAGCCGTGACTCGGAGCCAGGCGTGTGTTGGTCTCGTGGCTCCCCCCCATGGTTTGGCCTTGTCCTAAAATGTAGGAGTTGAGCACAGTCTGGAGCGCAGCCACAGCCCTTTGTGAATCCACCACGGGAGAGACGGACCGTGTGTCTGGTGCCTGGTGAAGAGTAGAGCGCCTCTTGTCCCCCACGCTTGTCTTTCGCTCTGCGCTGATCTCTGTGCTTTCGCCTTCTCCTGCAGAGCTGCTGGAACTGCGGGCGCAAGGCCAGCGAGACCTGCAGCGGATGCAACACTGCACGCTACTGCGGTTCCTTCTGCCAGCACAAAGATTGGGAGAAGCATCATCACGTCTGTGGACAGACTCTCCAGAGCCTCCAAGCTTCTGTCGGGACGGCCACTTCTGGCCCAGTTGGGCTGCCCGGGGCTCCTGCCCAGCCAGACGGGGTGGCCGTGACCAGTACCCTCCCTGGTGTGGCCCTGGGAGGCAGCTCGAGCGATCCGGGCTCTGCCACCGTCTCGCGTTCTGGCACGCCGGCAACCCCAGCTCCGCTGGACACCACGTCCCGCTAGGCGAGAGACAAAAGGGAAGAGAACCATCACTGCTGCTGCTGCTGCTACCACTGCTCTCCAAATTTAAAAAAAACAAACTAACAGAAAACTGCATTCAATGCAAATCCTCAGCTACCTGACACGTGTTTGACCTCCAGAGCAACCTCTAACTCTACGACAGAATCCTCATGAACCCTCAGACCTGGCTTTAAACGGAGTTAAGGCAAGCACCGGGCCTCGTCCGTCCTTCGGAGATGATGATGATGATGATGGTGGTGGTGGTGGAAGACTCAACCTCCAACCCATAGGATGTGGGGGAATTGAAGGTGGGGGTGGGGGTTGTTTTCCTTTCTCTTCTTCTTCTTCTTCTTCCTCCTCCTCCTCCTCCTCCTCCTCTTCTTCTTCTCGGATGAGGCATTTGCAGGTATCCCCACCTCTTGACTTGGGGACAGGGAAGGAAAACGGGACAAGGCTCCCTCCGTCTCCTGCCGAAGGTGCGTTCATGGAAATAAAAAGAATGAAAGCCCCTTCCTGTGAAAGAGGAAGGGGCAGAAGAAGGCAGGGAAAAATGGATTTCAGTTACAAAAAGCAAGCCTTTTTTTTTTCCTTTTTGTAAAAAAAAATAAAAATAGACAATACAAACATCAAACTCTTTGGCTTTAAGTAAAACAGAAAGAAAAAAAATCCAAAAAGTACCCACAAAACCAAGTAAAGGAAGCTTACCTGTAAACTACCTTGCTAGTTAGCCAAGAAATACCATTTTCACCTCTGCTCCAAAGGAAATCCAAAAACAGAAAAAAAAATCAAACTTTTTTCCTCTGCCAAAGTTTCTTTCTTCCTCCCCCCCCATTTTCTTCCTTCGACTGACTTCTTCCTCTTTTTCCTCATTACGGAGGCTTTATTTATTAGGTTTTTGTGAACGGAGGAGTGTCGCATCTTTCTGCAACTGTCTACCCGCAGCTTGGCAGCGACTGCCGTGCCACGGCTGGGGGCACTTCTACTCCTTTGTGTTCCTGGAGGGGGGAGGGTAAGGGGGCGGACCTCATAGCACGTGGACCTTGGCCTGTTCCTCTGTCACCCTGGAGGAGGACAGACGTGCGACTGTGGGGTTCGCAGACATTTTCGTAGAATAAAGCAAAAAACAAAACCAAGTATCCACCACTTTTGTGAGTGTGAGGATGAGTGTTTGTGTGTATATGTGTGACAGAGAGAGAAGAGAGAAAGAGTGAGGCAGACATGACTTTATAAAATCCCTCGCTTGATGGATTATGAAAACCTGTTGTGCTTTTTTATATATATCAAAACTTGTTGTATTAAACGGCCACCACACAACCTGTTCCAGACAGATGTGTGCAATTCACCCCTGCCTGCCTGCCTGCCTGCCCGCCCTTGGCTAGTTTGGTTCCGGCACCTGGGCAAAAAGTCTCTGTCTTTCACCTGGATCTTTTCACCTCTACCCCCCACCCCACCCCTCTCTGCTCTCCATAATCCACCCATCTTCCCAGGCAGATCTTTCCTTCTTGACTTCTGCCCGACCTCCCAAAGGACTGAGTGGCGTCTTTCTTTTCTTCTCTTCTGAAAGACCGGGTGCCAGCCCAGCCAAGAGTCACCCTGGAATCGGTGTCTCTTCCTTGGCTGTTCTTCCCAATCTCTCATTGGGTCTCCCAGGAGGGCAGGGGGTCCCTTCCCCTGCCTGTGTCCTGTCCTGCAGCTCCTGCAGCCTTTGGTCTTCCGGTGCCATTCTGGGCTCATCATACTTTTCCTGGGGAAACCAACAGATGTTTGACCGGGGAGGAGGGGGAAGGGGGGGAGGAAACAGCGGTATCCAATGGTCACATTCTTTGCAACACTGTACAAAGCACTGAGGACGGGAGTGCAATATGGGGCAGGGGGGTAGATGGCATGGCTGCAGGGGGGGTGGAACCCTTACGGATGGCCCAGCCAAGGTTTCAGGGCAGAAATGTTGTACTTTTAATGTGAATGTAAATAGTCTTTGCAAAAGGTTCCAAAAATATTGCTAATAACCGGAATGGTGGTGATGGTGAGAAGGAGGAGGATAAGAGACTTTTTGCCAAATAATGGAAACGGACAACCACTCAAGTAGGTAACAGTTGGGAAAATGGGCTTTTCCAAAAAAGACAACTTGCTGTGCTCGTGAAAAGATGTCATTTTCTAGAAGTGCGGAACTTGGAGTTTTCTCAAGGAATCCTTTTAATCCCCCTTAAACAGCCTTGTCCCTCTACTTCCAGTTGCTTGGCCCGCAGGGCTGTTGGAGGCTTTTCTGGCTGGAGAACATTGGTGTTGTAGTCCAATACCTCCAGAGGTCATTCAACACCTCTTCTGCCCCTCTGCCCACATATGGAGGCATTTCCTTCACCCGAACAAACGGTCCTTCTTGCCAGGGGCTCCTCTTTCACAGTTCGATGGAGCTGCACAGTGTGGATGATGAGTTCGTTTGAACTGCCTTGGCTTGCACTTCTGAAGCCTTGGAGTCCCAATCCTGTGTTCACGGGGAAATAAGACGGGCCCTCTTCCTCTTCCTCCTGGGCCAGCCAGCCTGTTTACTGGCAACAGAACCGAAACGTCAGCCTGTGTATGTGGCTGCTCTCTTTAGGTCCTCCAGAAGCCGTCTAAAGAGCAACAGGGACTTGCACGCTGGTGGTCCCATCGGTGTCTCTGTCTCAAAAGTCCTGGGTTGTCCTCTGGCCCTGGAGATATCTTCTGGCGAAGGCAGTCGGTGGACCACTACCCATTGTTATGCTGTCCTTCTGTATATGCAGCACCCATGAGACCCACTGCCCTGTTTATCTGCTATGTGTTCCTTCATCGGGGGCCTGAGGAGCACCATCCATCCTCTCTGTTTTTCACAGCCTCCATCTTCTTTCTTACTTCCGAGCCTCTTTAAGGATGTGGCCTCAAAGCTTTTGGAGCCATAACTCCAGCTCCATTCTTCCGGTTCCTTCTTCTAGCAGCTCTTTTCTTCTTCCTCGGTTTCACCAGGCTGTCCAGTTCTTCTTCCTCCTCTGAATAAGGAATGGGGAGTTGGTATTCCCACAATGCAAACTGGGATCTTTCTTCTTGGTTTTCAGCACAAGGATGTTGCTGCTATACCAGGTTGATGGTGTCTTGATCTTAGGTACGCAATGCTAAAGCTGTGTCTGGTGGAGAAGCCTGCCTTGGATGAAAGAGAGGTGGAATGCCTAGATCCACTGAAGGGACCGGCCTTTGCTTCAAGCCGCCGGCTGGGAACAAATGGCTGGGAATGTGTTTTTGACCCAGTCGGTGACCGTTGGGTGGGCCATCAAGTTCAGCTGTATCTCTCTGAACTGAAGCTCCGATCCTTTGGGGCTTCCCACTGAACTCAACCTGGCTGACTTCTGAATGGACCCACCTGAAAGGACTTCTTGCTCTAAATACAGCCAAAGCTCTCTTCAATGGCTGGTTCTTTCTGGCTTTGTGGGCCTCAGTTTAGAGTACGGGTGTCAAACTGGCTGCGTCACATGACGTGTCGCGATGTATCATGACTTTTTTTGAATTACCGGAGCTGGGGTGGGTGTGGCCTCCACATGACGCAACCGCAGTTTGACACCCTTGGTTTAGAGCAAGCCCTGTTCCCTCCCCTTCAAGGAGAGAACAAGATTGCAACTCCCAGCTCCGTTCTTGCAGTGCACTCTCTGCTTACCTTTAGGCTGTTTGGAAAAAAACCAAAATGCATCTGGGCAAAGTCTTCCTGCTCCCTTAGCAGAAAGCGTGATGGTTGGGATCGTGGTGTTCACATTCTTGTCATGAAAAGAGGTGATGGATAAAGGAGGGGATGATGGCCATCCTGGGCTGGCTGATCCGTCTCTTGCTTGGCATTTTTTCCTGGGCAGTGGCTGTGCGGTTGTCTCCCATTCTCCCTCTGACTCACTCAAAGGCAGGCAGGAATCCTTAGGAATTTACAATATACCAAGAGATATAAGTTTGTGTGCAGATCAGAAGCAAATGGGGAAGAGAAGAGAATGTCTCCCAGTTCTTAGAGCTTTAATAAAACGTTATCGCCTAGATGGCCTGAATTGGCCACCGGCAGTTGAATTAACTGTCAATGAATTCAGAGGAGTCTAATCTGAGCAAGCGTGTTTTGGGCGGCAGCCTGGGAATGGCTTTAACTCCATCTGCAAACTCTTACTTGTGAATGAAGCCAGTTGCAAAATTGAAAGCAGAGCAACCTTTTTAAAAGGAAAAGACCACTTTGCAAATGTGGGAAATTGTACATCCGTTCGGGCTGGCTCAGATCAACTTCACGCAGCTATTTCCAAGTTGACTTTTCCCAGGGCTTTTGACAGGCTGTTGACTTCATCTTGAACCACGCCGTTCCTGAGAATCTCTGAAAAATGAGGCAAACCAAGACAGGGAATCCTTTGCTCATTGCAACTTTGATCTGGGTTATTTGTGAGGATCCGCGGGAAGCAGTCGGTACTGAATGTGCCATGTGAAATAGTGATGCAAATATAGGTAGATCTTGTCTTCTTGGGCTATAATGTCATGGTTCTCCCGTAGATTGCTTCTTCAGCTGGTTGATGAGTCTTACCCCGTCCTCCTTAGTCTCCTTATTTCTGCAGCAAGGAATGCTTTCACATAACAGAAGTTCCCAAGTCTTGAGAGGGAGATCTCATCTTTCCATGCTTACTCAGTTTACGATCCCCTTGAATTCCCTTCTTTGCAAATGTCCACCTCTTAATCCTCCTCTGCTGCAGGAAGATTTTATCTTTTCTCCTGGGCAGAGGCTGGCCTGACTTCAGATGGGCTTTCTTCCCTGTGGGTCACTAGAGTGTTATCCAAACCCTGGGCCTCTCTTAATTAATTTACAGGCTGGTATAATGGTAGGAAGGAGCCATCAGGTGAGACAGGCACCCTTCTTCCCCACTGATCCTCAGGGATTGGCTCCCTTTGGCTCCCTGCAGAGCCCATAGGAAGGGAAAGGATCTGAGAGAACAAGAGGTGGGAAGAGTAAGCTGGCTTGTCCCGAAGGAAGATGCTTTTCCAGAGGACTCTGGGAGCCGACTGAGGTCACATCCCCCTTTTCTTGGAAGCAGATGCTTTTCCAGCACGGCTGTGTCATTGTGCCCAGATGGGTCCTTCTGTCTCTCAGGGTGGAACCTCTGCTCAGAGAGTGGAACACAAGGAAGAAAGCAGAGAGCGGCTGGTGGGAAAACAATCCCAGCACCAACCTAGCTTTAAAGACTTTGCAGAACCTCATCAGCTGGGAACCAATCCATCACCCATCCTCACGTTCTCTTCCGCCCCAGCCCCAGCCCAGAGCTCTGGTTCAGCATCAGGGCTGGAGAACACGATCCCAATCCTTCTCTATGGCTCTCACTCATCTCCTCATCAATCTTGTAAATGGAGAGCTCAGCCCAGCAATTCTGGAGAACCAAAGTGCTCCTTCATTTGAGTTTCAAGCTGGCTAGCCTCGGGAAGCTGGCTCTCTTCCAGCAGGAAAGCACGCTGGATTTGGGTCAGAGGTGGCACATTCCTGGGTTTTATCCCAGGCCTCCAGCGTCTCTGCCAAAAGACTCAGAAGCTGCCAGTTGTAGGGCAGAAACGAGCCCCCATTCTCCCCAGGGTGGAGGAGAAGCCCTGTTCTCAGGGTGCCCAGCAAGCGAATCGCACATGGAACTGTGCAATACTTGAATCAAAGGATTTGGGGGGAGGAGGGACATCGCTTGTACCAACCAAGATGGGAGCATGTGTGTGTATGCTTGCAAACGTGTCAAAAGAGGAAAATCATAGAAATCTAAGAAAATCCAATTAAAAGCAAAAGAGAACCCAGGTCCCCTCTTCCTCCCCTTCCCCCCCCCCCGGTGTTTATGGGTTTCTGTGGCCATTCCAGAGAAATGACTAAGTGGTAGAAGGGTTGAGTTTGGGGAGCCCTTCTATTGGCATGCTCTCCTTCCCCCCTTTCCCTTGTGGTTTCCTGCTTTCTCTAAATGTACTGTATGTTTGATCCGTGGAAGATGTAAACTTTTATGATTCAGGTTATGTCTGTTCTTAACTCTGTATCTGTGTAATAAAGATGGTTTAATATCACGCAACTGTGCCCATTTCTCCTGTGTGCACAAAAGCTCATTTGCACACCACTGCAGGACAAATGAAAGAATGACCTCATGGTCCAGTTAAATTCCCAGGCCACCACCTCAGGTTGAGAAAGGTACCAACAGGCTTTAAGTAACCAGCATAGGAGAGGGGAAGGCTTCTTTCACCTAGCATGCTAAGCCAAAATCAAACTAGCTATCTTAGGACTTAGCCGTACAAGTCCAGCCATTGAACCCCAGCAGGAGATAAGGGGATCCTGGACGTGCAAGATAAAGTGTTTGTTTGGGTCTGGCTTAATGAGATGCAGGAACACCCCAGCTGTGCCTCATTCAACCAACCTTTCATAGAATTTTGGCCAGATGTGGACCCAGCCTTTGAGTCTGACCTTTGCTCCCTTAATTCAGGAGTGGCTTCACTGACCCACAGCAGCTCTCTTCCCCCACTCCTTCCAAAGGACACCTGCCCTTCTGCTCAGTTTGCACAAACTCACATGGACAAGTGGGGCATGAATCAAAGCAATGAATTGATATGAATAACAGCCCTTGTGTTCAGGTGAAGATGGAGGGTGTTTGTTTGCTCTTCCTCTCCTGCTAGCTTAGCGCTCCCCCAGTGGGTGAAATGCTGCACCTGATTGGCTGTTAAAGAGATCAAATGGAACTCCAGCGGTCCTGCCTCAGCTGTTGCTTCCTCCAAATTTGCCTGGCTAGGTGGGGAAAACAGGCAAGGGTTTGCTGCCAAAAAGGTGTGAGTAATCATGTTTGGACTTGGGGCAAGGTAAGGTATGAGTAGACTTGGCTTCCTAGTTTTCAGGAACATTACTTAAGGTTCTCATCTGAAAACAGATTGGCTTGCTGCTTTTGGTAATTGTTTAGGGGTTACAAACAATACACACAAGCCATGGCTTAATATAATCATGAATTCAGCCAATGTCTACCAACTTGGAATGTCCTAAAGTGTAACAATAATGGATTGCAAAAATAAGGACTTTCTTTTGCTGTTGGAGACAGAACTACTTAGGAGGGGGCAGGCTTGAATATTTTGCATCAATGTGTGTTTGTATGTAAGGCTTAGATAGCAAAATGCTTTGAGTTTGCTTCTACAATGAAGCTTTGTATTTGAGCAAGTCTTGCTCGACTCAATGGGATGCCTCCAGGAATGCATCATATTAAGGCTCTGTGCTGACCTTTTTGGAGAGCATGAAGAGTGGCCCTCGCCGTTAGGCTTCCAAAGTCACATCTGAACTAGCAACAAAGCCATTGTTGTCATGCATTCGAAAACAAACAAACAGTCCTCAAGGCCAGCTTTTCTCCTTGGCCCTTTCATGTTATAAGTTGGGTCTTACACCATTCCCCAGAAATTTGCAGGCAGGGAGCCATGATGATATTTTTGGAGGCAAGGTTAGGAGTGGTCACGGGGAAAGGAAAGAGTCTCCCACGGTTTCTTGGCTTGTCTGCAAGCCCAGCCTGAAAGGCAGTTCAGATTTAGCCCCTGCATAGTAGATGCTGTTGTGATCTTGTAGATTCCACACTTTGTGAAGTGTGGCATCTGACTAAGCCTTCTCAAAAAACCCTCGCGTATTTGGAAGGCTTGCTCCTCATATGAACTAGACCCAGTCTGAGAAAAGGGGCAAAATGTTTCCCTTCCCTTCCCTTCCCAAATGCTCTTCAGCCAGACCCTGAGGTGGACATGAGATGAGGGGGACTGAGGGAAGAAGCCCAAGAAAGGAGCATGGATGGGGAGGAAGAACACTACTCTCTCGAGGCTAGGGAAAGAGGACAATCCACCATGAGGCCTCCTAGGCGTACCTAACCTTGGTGATGTGACTTTCCCCAAGCCATCCCTTCCTTGATTCTGGATCCTGGTGGTGTGATCCTCCTGCTTCGGACACCGACCATTGTCCCTGGGATGCAACTGAAATTTCTGCTTGGCAGAAAAACATGGAAGATGATTCAGCCTTGGCTCCTGTGGAAGGGGCCAACCAAGAGGTTCTGCAAGCAGAAGACCCAGTGAGTCTTATTCTGAGACTTGGGTCAGTTCAGAGGAAGCCCTTATATGAGAAGGTCTCCTCAAGGCTTTCCCTAATTCTAGAGCTCCTCTGCCGACATTGGGTGGGAGGAGGAGCAGGTCTACACTTCTGGCCAGGATGAAATTGCTGGAATTTGAAAAACCAGCACCAATGGAGGGCTGGGAAGGGCCATTTCTGGGGACAACTCTGTCTTTGGGGAAGAGAGATGCTTCTCATGTTCCACCTCTGCTTTGGCTTCTCTTGGGGTGAAGGAACTGGAGGCCATCAAAGCCAAAGTCCGTGCAATGGAGAAAGACGACGAATGGCTGCAGGAGTTACAGAATGAAGCCAAGTCTCTCCTTGTGAGTTCAGACCCAGGTACGGCTCGTGTCAAGCAGGGCTGCCCAACGATAGTTGCCCCGGGCCCTTCCTCAAGTAGGGGCTGCTCTGATATGAGGTTTTAAGAAATAAAACTGTAAGAAATAACAGCACAACTTCCCAAATTGCTGGGCACCACATTCAAAAACTGGCAAAGGAGGACATTAAATTGAAAAGGCTGGCAAAGACCATCGCCATCCTAACTTCTAGAGTTGTCTTTCTTGTGTAGGTCTCCTGTTATCTAGAATAAACGAGAAGAAAGTGGAGGCTGACCAGCGCTCGATCTATGTGGGAAACGTAAGAAAGAGGGGTTAAATGATATGTGCCAGAATCTGTAATGCATAGTGGGCTCACATCTGAGAGGGGCTCCCTTTCCTTCCGACTTTCTCCCAGTAATTTATTTATTTAGCGTCTGGCGTGGTTACATTAGCCAGAGACTACAGCAGTGCTAATGCAGAGTATGTTGACTGCCTGTTTACCAGCTTTGTTAAGTACAGGCTTCTGGTACTTTGCTTTCTCTTCAGATCCTATAAATCATTCGCCTTTTACTTTCTCCCCATGATGGAAAGCAGATCTTAAATCCTGCATTTGTGGGATTTATAGACCCAGATGCCTTGGGTCTATAAATCATTCCACAGTCCTGGATGTGTTGAGACTCCAGGGCTCTCAACAAAGGACACCAGAGTCCATGAGCATGATCTTCACAGGTAGATTATGGAGGGACTGCTGAAGAACTGGAGTCCTACTTCAATGGCTGTGGACAGATCAACCGAGTGACTATCCTTTGCGACAAGTTCTCAGGCCATCCGAAAGGGCAAGTGACCAATTGTTATGGGGAGAGGGGTGGGGAGAGTGTTGGTTAGGAAGCAGCCTACCCAGGTTAGTCCAGGGCCTTTGTTTCCCTAGGGCAGGTGGGCTACCTACCTACCTACCCATCCATCCATCCACCCATCTGTCCAATTTATTTGCCACCCATTTCCTATCCAACGTCTCTGGGTGGCTTACGACATAAAATATGATAAGGGTTTTGTTTATTTATTTTTACTTAACATCCTTTCTTCTTGCAGGTATGCCTACATAGAATTTGCTGACCAGAGTTCCCTCAAAGCAGCCATGGAACTGGACGAAGGGACATTCAGAGGCCGTATCATCAAGGTAAGCCCTCTGGGGCCTGTTGCTGAATAGAGGATATCTCTGACCTGAAAATTTCCCAGAGACCTTGATTGCTCCCTCTCAAAAGCTGAATGCTGTCTGAATTGAACTTCTGCCATCATCGTAGTTTCTCTTCCCCTGATTGGGCTCATTAAAACACATTTCTGCAGAATATGTTTAAAATACTTAATGCCCTTCCTGGAAATTTTGAAAACCCAGCTGGGCAAATAAACTCAAGACTGGTAACTCAACTGGCTGAGTTCAGAAGATGCCTAACTGTAACGCTAATCCATAAGCTCAGATTGACGAGACACAGCGGCAGCAGGATTCACACTGTATGTCCTGTGCAGAAAAACTGTTATGTCTGAAAGGGATGGCCTAGTTTACACAACACGACGCAGCTGCACCATCTGCTACCCAACCTTCTCCAAAGGAGAGTCTTGGGCAAATTTGGCCAATTCAGAACTTGCAATTCTCCAGATTCTTCTGGACATGCCATTGACGGTTACATCAGGACCAGGCCAGCTTGCACGTGATGCTGATATGCTGACCAATTTTTAATTTCCCTTCCAATGAGCTGGGAACAGGAGGGGGGGCAACTGTGTTTCATTGTCTCTCTTCTTATTTCCACATGTTTATCCCTGGTTCCTTGGATCCATGTTGTTTTGGTTCCAGGTGCTGCCCAAAAGAACCAACTTTCCAGGGATCAGCTCCACAGACCGGGGTGGTTCCAGGGGGCGCTTTCGAGGGCGGGGAGCCCCACCTCGCCATGCCAGCTTCTGTGGGGGGCAGCGTTCAAGGCCCCGTGGCAGAATAGTCAGGTGAGTGGGCAAGGTGGCACCCTTTCAGATAAACTGTCCTTCTGGAGGCTGAATCCTGACTCTGCCGTGTGCTTGAAGGAAGCCCAAGCTTCTCATCTGGCTGCAAATTACAGCATAGTGCTAGGTTTTAAATTGCTAGTATTTTTTCTTCTATTCCTCTCGTCTGCTTTTCTCTACCTTGTTGGTTTTACAGTTGCCCTTCTTGGTCTTGCAGAAATCCACATTTCTTCTTTTGTCAATATGGGGTAGTGGTTAAGCCACTTCCGATCCTCAGGGAGGGTTAGAGTGCCACCTCCCTGGGTGATGAGCTCTACCAGTGAGCAGACTGTGGAGATCTTCTCCTGAATTGTCATTCTGAAGTGGGGACGAAGATGCAGGTGGATTAAAGGGAGGATGGTAAATCTGATGACTAGAGCTTTGTGCACCCGCTTCTTCTCCAGGGGCCGTGGGAGGATACCTGCTTGGTACACGCCTTACTAGCTGGCAAAGGAGACAACTCGAGCGACAGGCCAGGAGGAATTCAGAAGGGGAGAAAGGAGGAAAAGCAAAGCCTATCTGTATCTGTTGTTACTTGTCAGCCCATTTGTCCCGTTTGCCCGGAAAGCAACCATCCTCCTCCTTCCTGTAAACCAAAGTAGTGAGGGGGAGGGGGGAGAAACCAGGATGGGCCCCCAAATCTTGCTGGCCCGGCTTGGGGGGGGGGGGCTGCATTATTTTCTTTGGAAGGGCCTGGATTCCTTTTCATTCTTCAGCAACTACATGCTATTATTTGAGGGGAGCAGAAGCTGTTGATCTCTTTTGCCTGGATGCTTAAAGCCCTTAATTTGGCCCGTTATGGGAAGGTCAATAAGGAAGGGGCTGCTCCTCAACAAAAATCTAGTTAACCAGCTTGTCCTGATGCAGAATCCAACTCCCTCTGCCTCCTCCTCTCAACCCCTCTTGTAAAATTGGTTGGGTTTGTGGGAGGGAGGATGCAAAACCATCCAGTTCTCTCCTTTTACAAATTTGGGGTCTCATCCCATTAGGCACAGAGTCATACAAGAAGCCTGTTACTATTTGTGAAAGTGTGTGTGTATACAAGGGACTGGCAATACGGACATGGAACAGCACATCTGCCCTGCCTTTTTGCAATCATCCTGAGGGTTTTGGTGAGCATGTTTAAATGCCCCTCCCTTCACAGGGCTGTGAAGACTTGAAAAAGACTAGAAAAAAGGATTTTCTGCAAAAGGCAAGCCAGCTGGGAGGAAAGTAGCGAGTCTTGTGTTTCCAGGGATTTATTGCAGGTCACTGTATCCTGATACGCCCTGCTCCTCATTTTAAACTAATTTAAATTAATTTAAGAAGTTTCTTCAAAATAAGTATAAATGAATTTTTACTATAGGGCTCACCTGCGGCAATCTTGTTTTGCATACCTTTTACCCCAGCACAACCAGGTACATCCATTACTGCTGCCAATGCAGCTTTCATTGCCCTTAAAGGAGACGGTGCCCAACAAAACCTTTTATCTTCAATCCATTGTGGAGTTTATAGGAAAAACCAGCATAGCAACTTGTGAATTTTGTCAAAATAGACTAGTAAAGTTCACATTTTATTGAAATGATTTTTCCACTTAGTCCTCTTGCAGCAAACAAAAAAAAAAAGTCTTAAAAAGGAATTTGTTCTTGGCAGCTGTAAATTCTGCTTCACTCTTTGCGTGCTGGAGACATCAGAAGTGAGTTTTACCATGTTAAAAAAAAAAGTAGTCATTTTTGCAAGTGGAAAGATGGGACTGATCTGCTTGAAAGCATTTACGGAAGGGGGAAAAAGTTCTTCTGGTTAGGCCCTGTGAAACTGACTGGGAGGTGCCAGGGCAGACAAGGTTGGGCATCCCAGATGGGCAATTTCCTGGGGATTGGGCCCTACATGAATAATAAACTGGCAGAGGTTGAAATAAGCAGAATGAAAAAGGAGAGTTGTATTAAAATGAATGTATCGATGAACAGATATGTAGTTTGTGATAAAGTTCCATGTTGTAAGACGTTTATCTTTTTTACAAAATAAATGGTCCTGCTAGTGAAAATTAAGCTTTACAACCACAGTGGCTGCCCGTTGACGTCTCTCTGAGCTGGGCAAACAGCAGCCTTTGCATATTCACTTCTCAGTGTAAGTTGGGCATGGCTGTTCCATCCATTTACCTTTTGGCTTTGTTGTTATTAAAGACAAGACTTAGCAAAAAGCAAGCTGGAGGGAGAATTAGCATAGCATACGGTATCCCATTCTGGCCCTCAAATGGAGAAAGAAGACTCTTTGCTAAAGTTAATGCAAAGTTTAAGGAAGGCTTCTCTTATGATGGGAGTTTCTTGATCCAAGCCACCGCCTCTTTTAAGGCAGTCATTTATATGGACTGGTACAGGTTCTCCTGGATTGAGCAGGGGGTTGGACTACAACTCCTCCAAGGTCCCTTAAAACTCTTCTATTATTCTGGATATCATGCACCTTGAGTAGCTTTGCAAACACTTCAGACGGCTTGAGTAAAGGAGTTTATTTTAAGGACAAAAGAACATCAAACACTGCAGGGCATAGGTTTTTTCAGCGTAAGGAGCCGGTAGAAGAGGCAGGACTTTCAGCAAACTTGAACCATCATGGACATCACTGTGTTATCAAAGGCCCTTGAAATGCAGAGAGAGAAAGCTGGTGAACCAGATCACCCCATCCAGCCCAAACTGATAGATGAGCTAATTCAGGAGTACAAGAAGGGCAGTTCTCCCCTTGTGCAGCTCCCTGAGCCCCTGCTAGTCATTGTTCTGCTTTGCCAGTATCAGTCATCCCACTAGCCCATCTGATGAAGCCAGCAGCTTCCTTACCCTCCCCAGCTGATGTCTGTCCCTGGCTTTTTCCATACGCCTCTGCCCAGAACCCTTTTGGTCCATATGTAAAGCCAAACAGCCCAGTTGGTAGGCCCAGAACATCCAAAACACACCTGCTTGGAAGCAGACTAATCAAAACAAGTAGCTCTGTATGCAAAACATTTCCCTAATTAATACCCCTGTTCTGCCCTGTTCAGTTTCTGCAATTTAGCAAACAGCAAGTACAGAATTGTATCACTCGCACAATGCCATTACATTGTAGGATAACAAACCAGTTGGGCTGCATTCAGGCATCATGGTAATTTAGTAAGCCAAAAGTAGGTAACTTAGGGCTAGCTATAATCTATGAATCCCTAGGTTTGTGAAAGGCAGTTATCATCTCCCCTGCTCCCCCTACCGTCAGCATCTGCATTCTTTTGCAGGCACCCAAGACCCTCTGGCTGCCTTAGGGATGTCTAGCCAATCTTCTGTTTCGCTACCTATTCAATTGGCTGGCTAGGGAATTCTAGGGTTGAAGTCCACATGCTTTCAAGTTGTTGAGGTTGAGAAACACTACTTTTGCAGAACATGTTTAAACTGGTTACTAAATAAACCCAAATTCTGCATCTATCAAACCAGAAAGCCATCAAACATGTTGAATTTATACCACAGCACAAGCTATAAAGTAGTCATGGTTAAAAGTCATCCAGTATCAGGTCAACACAGAGCACTTGGTCTTTGATGAATCTGGTTAAACAAAGTATGTGAGTCTGGGTTTCAGGTCATGCAAAACTAAGGAAGGGCAAATTCTTACTCACCTGGATTGGATTTGGTCTCCAGGATTGTAAAAGGGGTTACACATGACATCTGTATAAGAATTATGCAATTTCCTGAACATCTGCAAAGAAACCACCTCCGTTATATTTAATTACAAAAGGATTTATATATCTCCAGTCGGGCTTCTGGGAGGTGCCTTAGACTTACACTGCGGATTTCATTGTCTCGGAGTGCTGTGTTGGAAGAATCCACCACCATCACAAACTTGACTTTGGAATTGGTCACATAGCCATAGCTGCTTGGCTGGTTAAGGGACACAGACTGTTGGAGACGGGAGGCTGATCTTCCACCCGTGTCTCTTTGTCATTTATCTGAGATGCCTGAGATCAGATTGGGGTTTGATCTGCCACTCAGCTACACATCAGCAGGCCTAGCAGATCCTGTCCTCAAAAATCTGATTACTAGATAGACCAGAAAAAAAAGACAGAGAAGACTCTGGGCTGTGGTCCAGGGGGTTCCCTCGGCCTTTTGCAGCCCAGATCTGACAACCTGAGCCTCCCTGTCTTGGATGTCGAGACCACCAGAGTCTCTCCATCCTAACTAGATGCAGGATCAAGGACCAGAGGAGGCTCCTGTTTGCACAACCTATCTAATGTCTTCAAGCTTGGCAATCGATGGGTGGACTTCAGCTCCCAGAATTCCCCAGCCAGCAGGGTTTTCAGGTGGAAGGACTTCAGCTCCCAGAATTCCCCAGCCAGCAGTATCAATTCTGAGAGTTGAAGCCCCACCCCCACCCCGAGAGCTGCCCGGTTTGAAAAACGCGCGTCATTTCCAGGCTCCCCGTTGGAGGGTCACCCCCGAGAGTCACACACCCCCGGGCAAGGATACACCTTGTAGTCCTCGGTGGGGTAGAGGAGGCCGAGGTAGAGCTCCCGCTGGTCCACCAGCGCCTTCCCCAGAGCCGACACCTTCTCGTCCACCACGTCCAGCGAGGTGTGCACCGTGTAGTGGAACTTCAGCGCGTTCTCGGTGGGGAGGCTCTTGATGTAGAGCGGGTAGTTCTGGGGGGGCGGGGAGCGAAGCGGTCAGAGGGGGGGATGGGGAGGCGGGCCCCGGGCCACTCGCGTGGGTCCCACGTCCTTCCACCCCCCCTTCCCCTCCCCCCGCGCCCACCTCCTTGGCGATCACCGCAATACACACCGCCATCTCGGCTCCGGGCAAGCGAGCTTCCTCTGCCCTCACTTCCGCCCATGTGACCGGCAACCCACCAGCCGCGTCGCGCCCCGCCTCCGGACTTGGAGAGCGTGACCCGTTTGTCCCCGCCTCCCCCTAAATCCTGCTCGAGGGGAAAGAGCAAGAAGCGTTTCCTCGTAGTTTTACACTTCCGGCTTCGTTTCGAAGGCTCCGTGCGGGGCTTGGGGCAGGCCGAGGGTTTATTTCTTTATTCCACGGCCGCTCTAAAGCGCCCGCCAGCGGCCCAGCGCGTAAAAGTAGGAGGTGTGCCGAACGGAAGGGCCTTTCCCCTCAGCCGCGAAGGACCTCCTCCCCCTGGTCGGCTTTAGCCCTCACCTTCGATGAGGACCCGGAAGAGGGAGTGACTCCGCTTTCTGGCCGCTCGCCTCCTTTGCGCTCGGCTTTTTCGGTCCCTCGGCGGGGCCGCTCCACCTGAGCGTTGCCATGGAGACGCAGCCCTGGCGGCGGCGGGGGATGCCGGCCCTTTGGGGCCTGGCCCTCGCGTGGCGCCTGGTGGCGGCTGCCGACTTCTCCTGGGCCCCGGCGGCGCCCAACCTGGTCCTGCTGCTGATGGACGACGTGAGCGCGGGCGCCTCTTTCCGGGGAAGGGGCCTTTGGTGGGGGAGGGGCGGAGTTGACTGGAGGGGGCAAATGGAAAGCCCCCGCCCGGTCCAGCTGGACTCTGGGCAGCCCCGGGCTTGGGGGTGGCCAGGCAGGCGCCTAGATAAACGCTCAGGCGGAAAAGCTCTTATTATTGTTGCTATTGTTTTATTATTACTACACAGTCTCAGGAGAGTTATACCGGATTTCCTAGGGATCTCCTGGTGGTCTCCTTTTCAAAAAAAAAAAACCCAGGTCACTTTCAGAGATCCAATTCCGGCCCTTTGCGGGAGGCATCTTCCCACCTGGCAGGAGCCTTTCGACCTTAGTCCAACTTCTCAGCCCTTACAACAAATGGGAAATCCATGGGAAGTGCCTGAAAACCATCCTGGTGTTTCTTCAGTCCCTGGGCCCCTTGGCAGCTCATGTTGTGGGGAGGGGGAAAAAACAACAACTTTCCACTGAATTTGCAGCTCTTGGAAATGGTAAGCACCAGGTCCCGTCCACCTCTGGGTGGTGCATTGTGCTATAGGGCCCCAACCGACCTGAATTTCGCTGGGAGCCTTTTTGCCTTTTTTTGTCTGATGTGCAGTCTTGAAATTCCTCCACTCCAAGTTTCTGGCAGTTTCCTGTCTCTTTCTGCCAGGGATAAGTTTAAGTTTTTGTTAGCTTTAGCTTGAAAATCTTTATGGACCGGTCAATCTCTATGGATACTACCAGATTTTTGGAAGAAATATTGAGGGCTAGTCATTGTTTATTAAATTCGTATGCCACCCATCTCATTCCAAAATGATGCTACTACTTATAATCTTACACTACTTTGGCAGACCAGGATCCCAAAAGTTGTTACTCTGTGCAGAAAAATGGTTATATTATGAATTGGGACCTTCTCCCATTGCATATTTCCTGTATTCTGAGTAGTATAAGATAACCTTTATTGTTATTTTTTTACAGTGGGCACATTGGCACATATTCAAAATGAAATTCTGTTGCCTGCTCTCAAAAGTGTACACATACATAACACACATATAGACATGCTATGTACATACATATGAATATACCCACACCTTACGCATAAATACATAGAAATATTAATCACTGTCCATTGTGAATACATAGCAGAAAGTATTACAGTAGTATTTGGTTTTGAACAGGGTGATGGAATGGTCTCACTGCGACTGGGGCACCTCTTCTTTCAGCATCTCACCTGGGCTGTTTGGAGGACGACTTGTGTCCTCTGAATAAGTGAGGGTCGTGGGCTTTGCCTAGACATGCTGAACTCTACTGTGATGGCTGCCCCTCCGTTTCAGGAAAAGGCCTAGTAGTAATGTATACCTGCTTTAGAATTCAACTCTGGGCTCCTGATCTGTTTCTGTGATTATGATTCATCAAGCACTTTAAGGAAATTATTCCAATTTTCTGCTGACTGAACTATTAGCAAAGAATTTCCTAATGGGCCTCTTTATTTAGTGTGCTATTTTTAATGCTTTTTTTTTTTTGCTGGAAATTGTTGGTGTGTACATGAGCATGTATATTCCTTAGAAGAAAGTTCCTGTTGTTTTGCCTATTTTTCTCTACAGCAAAAAAGCTCTCATTTTTTTTTCTCTTTTTATTATTTTTCAGTATATATGTGTCATTAAAAAAAAGTTGTAGACGAAGTCTGGCTAAGAGTGTGGAGCTGCAGGGGCCAGTATAGAAAAGTCAGGCCTGGCACTGTTTCCCTGGATTTTCCTTTAATTTTATAAAGCTGAATGGAAAATTCACACGACGACTACAAAATGACTTACGCCAAATGGAGTACATAATTTGCTTGCAGAATTGCCTTGAGTTGTTGTGAGGGTCACCAGTAAGTCAATAGTCTTTCACACTTTTAGCTTAAAACCAAACTGTGCTCAAAAGCAGCCACTCTCCTATAAGAAAAAAATAGCAGGAATATTATCCTAGTTTGATCAGTTCTGAGCCCCAGGGTGGCTGTGGATGGAGACCAAAGACTCAGGATATAAATGTTCCCCCAGAAGGATGTCAGTTATCATATTCTTAGTTTGATTGCTTGGGTTCCTTGTCCCAGAGGACACAGCCAATATCCACCCTTGGTTGATAATCTGTGTGAGGCTTGGTTAATATGGGACTCGGCAAAGTTGCAAGCTTTCTCCCCTTTTCCATAACACTGTGGAAAGAACTGATCCCCTGTTAAGTGGATGTTGCCATTCTGGATTCTCCAGCGATTCTTTTAACTACCTGAATAAGAAAAATACAAAGGTTAAAAGCTAACTTTTTGGCTCTAAAAGCTTTCATTTTTCTTGCCTGCTGGTGTTTTTTCAGATGGGTTGGGGTGATTTAGGTGTGTTTGGAAATCCTTCCAAAGAAACCCCTAACTTAGACCAGATGGCTGCAGAAGGCATGCTTTTCACAAGCTTCTACACTGCCAACCCTCTCTGTTCACCATGTAAGTAGACTTGAGAATCTCAGGGAAATGTCATGGGCCTGTGGGTAAAAAGCTGGGCTTGATCCAATCCTTAGCTGGACCATTCCTTCACAGTGGGCAAAATTACACCCTGAGGGGTCCTTGTTTTCTGGCAGACATCAGTGATGTTACCTAGTTTGAGTAACGAAACATCTGCCAGAAAACAAGCAGCTCAGAGAGCATCTTGGACTCCTCATTTCAACCCTAAGCTACAAATATTCTCCTCTATTGAAATTATTGAATAATTGGTTTAATTATTTAGTGCTGTGCTAAGATGTAGCATTACCCAAAACTACTCTGCAGCCACAAGTCTTTTGTGTTACAGATTAAATGCTCCTGTTCGTGCAGACGTCCACAACCTTTTGGGCACCAGGGACTGGTTCTATGGAGAAAGGTTTTCCCACAGAATGGAAAGTGCATAGTTTTGTGTGTTGCCTGCATCCTATGGATGGGGCTTTGCTTGTTTGTGTGAACCGGTTGCTGGCATGCCGCAGCCCAGTACCAGTCCACAGATTGGGGGCTGGGGACCCCTATGTTAGTGGATCTAGAAAGGGTCTGAAAAAATGTTCAGTTCTCCACAATAGTTCAGTTCATCTGATACCCTAGTTCGGGGGTAGGCAACCTTGGATCTTTTATGACTCGTGGACTTCAACTCCCATGCTGGCTCAGGAATTCTGGGAGTTGAAGTCCACGAGTCATAAAAGAGCCAAGGTTGCCTACCCCTGAACTAGTTCATCCAGGCTCCCCAACTGCTGTTAGGATAAAGTGCTACACATTGGAATTGTGGCAATTGGGGATAGTCCTCAACCTATGCTGTTTAGCAACCATTCAAAGTTCTGACGGACCTCCCCAAAGCTATTTATCATCCACTTTCAAAGTTCTGACTGCTGCTTTCCCCCCAAGTCATATGATTGCATTTTGGGCACTTGGCAACTGGCCTGCATTTATGGCAATTTGCAGCTTCCTGCAGACTGCAATCTGCAACGTTTTTTGCTGAAAACCAGCATTTATGGTTTGTGGCAAAAAAAATCCCATTGAGTACAATGAAAGAAAGTCAGGCTTGATGGATCTGCTGTCATCTTCCTGTTTCTCTTCTCTCTTCAGCCAGGGCAGCTCTCCTGACAGGCCGTCTCCCTATAAGGAATGGCTTCTATACCACCAATGGCCATGCCAGAAACGGTAAGTCCTCTTCCTGCAAGAGAAGCCGGGGGCAGGATCTGGCTTCCAAGTTTCAAGTTAAGGGAGACTTACAGGGTGCATTTGGCTAACTTGCAAAGAGAGGAAAAGGCAACCTCAGAATTTTGCATGATTTAAACTACCACAATCTCCATTGAGGTCTTAAAAAAAATGTTTCCAAACAGTCTTAATGCAGCTTGTATTCTAGAATTTGGGCTAAGTCTGCTTTTTTCCGCTGCCGAATGGGTTAAGGAACACTCAACAAAAGAGGAACTAAAGTAGTCGTGTGTTATTGTAGTTCAGCAATCTGTTTGAAATTTACTCTTTTAGCAAAAAGATGTTCTTCTCTAAACTCGGCAAGGGCATCTGGAGGGCATCACTAAGCTGCCCATAATGAGCACTTTGCTCCAGGATTTTTATGGGGAGATGCCAGCTTGAGCTGATTGGAGGCCAATCTAGCTGGCATTAGAATTGTTTGTTGCAAAATGGCAGATGCTGGAGGAGACCATATGTTTTGAAGCATGCATTTACAGCTCCAGATTGATGCATGCTGCATGCTGGCAAGTGTGGGTGTTTCTCTCTTTGCTGGAAGAGAGGGCTTTTGATAGAACGACAAGGGCAAGAGAGTCACAGAAGAATGTGTGCAGCATCTAAAATAGGCTAAGGGCCTCTGTGTTGCCTTTCTGGGTGATGGTTTAAGTAATAGAGGTGTGCTATCTAGGGTTATTGAAAAGTCCTCTGTTAAATGGCTATGCTGGGAGTTACAAGGCTCTCAGTTTAACTCTCAGGGACTTGCACTGACAATGAATAGTTTTTGAAGGCAGAAGTCTTTTCCAGCCCACCTCATCCAAAGATCAGCATCAGGGATTTAGGGCCCGGAAAGAAGTAGATGACTGAAATGGGATTTGCTCTCTGTACCTTGTTGAAAGCCTACTTCTCTGCTTGTTTGTGAAGAAAGATGGGCCAGGCTTGCTGCTCAGTATATGAGACACAATTATATTTGCTGGATTAGTGTTTTACCCCTTCCCTTTTATATCCTGTGTATTTAAAACCCCAGTATAGCCTTTTGCTTTTCCAGATGTAAAGAATTCATGGGAAGCAAATGCATACTTTGAATGGAACCCAAGAGACGGTTTTGGGAATCTATTCTTCGCATGTTTGGCATAGCCTGGCTTAGATGCCTCTAATCCTTGAACGACCCTCAGACTTGTTCAGGAGAGAGAGCACCAGCTCACAAACTCAATTCCCGTGGCTTGTTTATCTAGCTAAACTGTTCTTGTCTTCATGCAGCCTATACGCCCCAAGACGTAACTGGGGGCATCCTGGATTCTGAGCTACTCCTTCCAGAATTGCTGAAGAAAGCAGGCTATGCCAATAAGATAGTTGGCAAATGGTAAAGTTTTCTTCCAGCTACTTTATATCTCTGTGCTTTATTTTGTCTGAAAGTCTTCAGAAATCTAGGCAGGCTGTCTGGATAAGCGCGTGCTGTGATTGATTTCTGAGCTATCCACGTGCATCTTGCATTTCTTTTCATCACCAGTGACAGTGCTGCAGTGCTTGTACCTGGTTGTCAATTCTTCTGGTTTTGACCTCCCTTGGAATTCGGAGATGTGGCACTTTTCTCCCAGAGGGGAAAGTGCCTCTCTCTGATCCTGGTTAGATGTAGCATTCCCACAGGAAAAAGAATTGATGATGTTAGCACACCTTTGGAGGGTCGGGCCATAATCTAGATGGGCAGAAGGTAAATGGAGAGCTGGTGAGCAACTATTGATCTCAATCTGCCTGCACTGCATCCTAGAAGCAGCTTTAAATGAGCAAAGAGTTGGATCATTTAAATTGATGAGCCACCTCTGTAGTGCTGGTGCAGGTGTTAAGAACAGAAACAGCCTGGCTGCTGGAAATGATGCGCCTACATAAATCACGGTTGTTAAAAAAAGAAGCTTGCAGCAGCTGCAAAAAAGAATGTGTTTTTTGATCCACAGAAAAATAGAGGAGAGAGAGAGAGCGAGAGAGTGAAGTGGTAGTGTTCCTCCTATTTATCACTTGTTCATTTATGTCCCTGATTGTTCTGTGGCAGATTATTCCCCAACCAGGCGCTCTCCAGAGAGGCTGCAGGCCTGTTGGGTGACAGATTCAAGCAGCACAAGGGTGCCTTAACTGGAAGAGGAAGCTCCCAGAAATGCTTCCTTTCCAGTCAGCTGATTACCAGCCTAGGCCAGCTCAGTCCAGGGCCAAAGATCTGCAGCTCTCCTGGCAGTTTTAGTTGCTCAAGCTCTTAGTTTAAACCCGGGAAGTTTGCTTTCCTTTCCAGTCAAATTCAAAGGAAAACTTGACTGAAACAAAAGCTCTAAGGAGGGCTGTGCAGTCATTCAACTCTGAAGTGGCCACCCGGCTCCAGGAAAATAGGCATTTCAGGCGACGGGCAGGAGATGTAGTGAATGCGTGTTTCCTGGGAATCACACGGTCTTGTGCAAGCCCAGGAAGGAGCACCCGGCTATGCTTCTTCCTGCCTTTTTCTCCGCTGGAGGGCAATTTTGAGCCTGGCAGGCAAGAGCAGGTCCGGTGAGGCCTTTGTGGTGGTAGTTTCTCCTGTGCCATGCTGTGAGTGGCTCGTTTTCTTTTCCACCCTATTTGCAATTGATCCTCTGCCCCGTTGGAGACCAGCCAAAGAACCGGAGGGGCTACTGAGCAGCTCCCTGAGAATGGTGAGGAGCAATACATTACTCATGCGGACTTGAGCATCAGAAAATGGTTTGGGTTTTAAATTGCCTTAGGAAATCCTGGTTTTGAGAGATGGCACAGCAATTTAAAAAATGAATAGGTCGCACTGCTCAGGGCAGGACAGGGTGAGGGTGGAGAGGAAGGAGCCAAGCAAAGAAGCTTGCAAAGTGGAAGGAGTGAGCTGGAAAGATTGAAGATGCGATGTAAAGCAAAGAAGTTTTCCAATGCTGGCTACTTGGCTGTGGGTATTATTTCCATCATCCTGTTCCCTGAAATGTGATTATTTTATTTTTAATTGAATGTAGGAGCTGCTGGCTGCCCTCTGATGCAAATTCCCCCCTCTTTGGCTAATCATCTTTTGTAGGCACCTGGGCCACCAACCTCAGTTCCTTCCCTTGAGGCATGGATTTGACACCTGGTTTGGATCCCCCAATTGCCATTTTGGACCGTACGATAACAAAGCCATCCCCAACATTCCCGTTTATAGGGATATGGAAATGATCGGCAGGTAGCCTTGCTTTTCTTTTTTTTGTATCACTTACTTCTCTGTGTTCCTTTACTAGTTCCGCTCAGCTGGTTTTGGGCATCGTTACAGTGGGCAGTTTTGGACTGTATTCTCTTGCTTTTCCTCTGGCCAAGTCTGCGTAGTGGTTGCATTGCTTTCCTTTCCTGAAGAGACCCTGAGTGAGGCTGCAGCTTTCTAGATCACACACCTGGGCAAGTCCTCACGTCCCAGAATTTCTGCCACAATAAAACTACTCACAGTGAAAATGATGAAAACATCGCCTTGAAAGTACATTGAGAGATCTGAGCCCATTCACTGAGAAAATACTACATGTAGTAAATTCTTTGTGAACTCCATTAATAGAACAGGGTTGTACTTTAATCATTGAAATTCAAGAAAGGCCAGTCTCCCACTTCATGCCCATCCAGCTTTATTTCACTTTTTTTATTGATACATTTACAGGCCATCTATCCTACTCATTCCGGACAGCTCACGTTAAACACTAAAAGCTTCAAACATGAAATACAGTTTATCCTTCACATTATTATCTACTAAGAAGGAAGAAAAAGTCAGTTCATATTTTCACAGGGACGTTCCCAGCTTGCAGCTCCTGAAGTTATATCTGAACTGAGACTCAGTCAGTCATAAGCAGTAGGGTCCACATCTTTAAAACCTGCATCGAAAAGCACACACACAAACACACTAGGGAATGTGGCTGGCAAAAAGATACGTACATTGCGTATGGAAAAGTGTACACACAATTTTTCACAGAGCGTTTTATAAAGTAGCAAGACGAGGAAATGAGTCAGAATTAAGAAAAGGCTGGAACAACAAGAAATTGAGCAAAATAGCTTGACTTATTGGGTTGATTGTTGCTGCTATCAGCAACAGCTTGTATCGGGGAGAAAACCCATATTCCTTTATTTTTGCATTCCTAAAAATGCAAGGAATGTTTTTCTTGTTGCCTTTTCTATTGTAGGTATTATGAAGATATAAAAATTGATCGTCAGTCGGGAGAAGCAAACCTAACTCAAATGTATTTACAGGTAATTTTGTGCTGAGAACCTGTTTCAAACCCAAAGGTCCTTTCTGCAGCCTGGGCGATCCCATTGAAAATTGCTCCTCTCTTCCAGGAAGCCCTGGATTTCATAAGCAGCCAGCAAGCCAGCCATCAGCCATTTTTTCTCTATTGGGCCATCGATGCCACCCACGCTCCCGTGTATGCCTCCAGGGAATTCCGGGGCACAAGCCAAAGAGGACTGTAAGTTGGTTTTGAGCAACCTATTCTCCCCTCCCTTCCACGTTGTCCCAAGAGAGAATCCCCAAGCAGTCTTTATGGTTTGATTTGGTGGAGGTACCCGTGCAGGGTTTAAACTCTGTGTGTTCCACAGAATTATAGAGGCTGGACAGGGTTTTTCCAACTTGGTAACTTTAAGATGTGTGGACTTCAGCTCCCAGAATTCCCCAGCCATTCCCCACTATGACTTCAGCATAGTGCCTCTTGGGCTCTGAGCTAAGGAGTTTCTGCAGTAACAGTAGTTATTATTCTGTATACCAGGGCTCCGAGCTGGAAAAAGAGACAATGGAAAAAATCAAGGGGAAGCCAAGCAAAAAAAATGCAGTGAAGCCTGCCAGCAATAATCAGCTCTGGAGGCCCCCTAAAATCTTATTTCTTCCTTTCAGAGAAATAACACTTATGCAACACAGGAATTTACTATTATGCTCCTTGCTCCTTACTATGACGGGATGTCCTCAGCTTAGTCTCACCCCTCTTCTTTTCTCTTCACTGCTATTTTACTGGGAAAACTTTTTCCCCCTATCTTTTACCTGCTTGGCTAGTTAGAATGAGCATTCTATATAAGTGTAGTTTTATAAATGCAAATACGGTTAGAAACAATTTGTATTAACATTTATTTTGTAAAAGAAGTATTATTACAGGCAAGGCCTTTACATTTTTTATTTATCTGGACCTTTTTGAAACAGTTGTTTTTATAATGTGGTATTCTTGTATTAGCTCCTCTGAGAACAGTATATGTGGGATGTTCACTCATAAATGATACTATTATATATATAAGGGACTTTGCAGATGCTTTGCACCATACACATGCATGTCTATACACATACATACACATGGAGTATCCCCAGATAACTTCATCTCTACCTCGATTGTTTTGTAATTTCTTCTCCCTGACTCTTAGGTATGGCGATGCTGTGCGGGAAATTGACTTCAGCATTGGGAAAATTCTTAATCACCTTCAAAAGCTGGGCATCAGCAACAACACCCTTGTGTTTTTTACGTCTGACAATGGGGCCGCCCTCATTTCAGCCCCACAACAAGGTCAGTTTGCTCGGAGTGGACCTTGGTAGTGTTGGGATGGAATATTAGAAGCTGATTTGCTTTCTACCAAAGGCATTATCTACAAATAAATATTTATGGGGGGGGGTGTCAAGTTGACAGTGTCATTTTGAATGACTTATTAGCCCATTAGCCTGAATTCAGATTCTACCTTTCTCTGTCCCAAAATGTTTTGGAATTTTTTTCTCTTTCTCCAGGAGGCAGCAATGGCCCTTTCCTGTGTGGCAAGGAAACAACGTTTGAAGGTGGTATGAGAGAGCCAGCTATTGCCTGGTGGCCAGGACACATACCTGCGGGACAGGTAGGAATCTGGGCGGGGGGGGGGAATCTTCTCTGTAGGACTTCCAGTAGTTTTGCTTTATATGGCACCCTGTAGATCTATAGCAGTGGTTCTCAACCTTTTTAATGCTGTGACCCCCAACCGGTCGTAAGTCAAGGACTACTCAACCGGTCGTAAGTCGAGGACTACTCAACTGGTGCCGCACCGTTTGCAGACTGGGGCTTTTGGCGGGCTCAGCAGGGCAGAGACAGCCTAGACAATTCCTATTGGCTTTTGAAAGCCAGTAGAATAAAAGGGAGTAGCACAGCTAAGGAAAAGGGGGAAAAAATGGCGGACTGCGTTGTTTGGCGACCCCCGTGAAATGGTCATTCGACCCCAAATGGGGTCCCGACCCACAGGTGGAGACCCACTGATCTATAGGAATAATAACAGCATTCCCTGATGGGTTGTAGAAAATAGATGGTTTGAATTCTTTTCATGTTCTGTCCCTTACTTCCAGTTTTTGACAAATCTGCACCATAGAGAAGACTGGATTTGTTTAACTGCTGATAAAGGTAGTAAAATCAGGTCAGTCACATGGCTGATCCATTTTACGGCCGTTGCCACTTAGGACTGTAATTGGCAGGCTCCATTAGAGTGGTCCCTCAAGGACTGCCTCTAAGCAGAATTTTCTGCCTCTGCTTTCTCAAAGGATCCAGCTGTGGGAGTTCGTATTTTTGTGCTCCTTTCAGTCCCTCTCCTGTTCCAGCCCCCCTTTCCATCTTCTCTCCCCTCCTCCCCAGTTCTGCTCCCTGAAGGAGAAAAGAACACACCAAGCCAAAGACAGCACTGCAACCTTTTCTTTACCATCTCCCACAAGGCAGAAACTGAAATTGAATTAGACAGGGATATCAGGTCTGCTTGCTGTGATAAATGTAAAAGGATTTTATTTAAAAACACTCTGACATTTGTTCACCCAGTTTCAAATATTTAGCTTTCCTCCTTTCCATTCCTGGCGGGGGCAACTTTATTAATTGTCGCCTTTGATTCAGATTTAGAGCTTGAAAGCGCTGATAACGCCGGAGCAGGCTAGTTCTTCTCCCGATGTGGCCCGCGGCAAAAAGGATTTCATTTTCTTAAAGATGCTCTGTATGTGCTGAGAGTTTATAAAACATATATAAGACCCCCTCTTCTCGCGCATGATAATATGGGCTGTTGTGTGCTGATATGAAAAATATCTGATCTAGCTCCTCTGGCTTTCATTATTTATTTTTCACCGAGCCGCGACGCTTTAGAATGTTCTTTTCCCCAGTTTGTGACGGGAATGGCAAAGGAAGGAATGTCGACAGAAGAAAAGTGCTCCATTCACCCTCTGAAAATAGGAGAGGGCACCCCCCCTGCCGCCCCCAGCAACCTCCTGTTTCCACCCCCACCCCAGATTTTATCTCTGCAATATGGTGCTGCAGATAAATCCAAGTAGCTGTAACATTGGCATTTAGCTTCTTTTAAAAAGTTTTCTGTCCTTCGTGCAGGGAGAGGGTGGGAGACCAGTGACAGAATTGGCTGTTGAAAATGAGCTGTCCTCTCCAGGCTCGGTAGAACAATGGAGAAGAAGAGCGAGTCCTGGGTGGAATGGGACAACTCGCCTCAGCCAGCTCGCTGTGGGACAATTTGACAATTCAATTTAGTTATTTAAAATAAGTAAAAAAGATTTTAATTTTTATCATTCACATTTCATTCTGTCCCTCCTTTTGCATCCTTTTTTAAATGTTCCACCATTTCTTTGATATTAGTGTATTAGCGAATGGGCTGCGGCGAGCTGGCCAGGGCAAATTGCCATAGACCCATCGTGGGCTGGTGGACTTTTTTATGCAAGGCAGGAATAAAAAGATCCTTGGAATTTACCCAAACATTCCACTCACGTGGATCTGGCTGTCCATCTCTGGTGTGGGAAAATGCTGCTGGTGGTCGGGGTTCCTCTCTAGCTGCGTCCCAGAATCTCAGCCCTAGAATTTTTATGTGGGGTTGAAATGATGGTTTTTCTGCATCTTTGACATCCTTCAGTAGTCCAGAACATTTCTCAGCCTTGGCAGCTTCAAGAAGTGTGGATTTTTAACTCCCAGAATTCCACACCTCTTAAAGTTGCCAAGGTTGGGAAATGGTGCTCTTCCGGGGAACCCTGCTGGTGGTTGTGGCTATAGCATCCGAAATTGCTTTGAAGGTCCTCACCGTCTCTCTCCGTCACTTGGGAGAGCAAGAGTCTGGGTAAATATCTATTCTCAGTCATCCAGTCCTGGTTATCCCAAAGGTGCTTTTTCAAAAGGCAACTGGACTTTCTTTATTTCAATAAAGCATAACAAAAAAAAACCAAAGAAAGTCCAGTTGCCTTTTCAAAAAGCATGTTTAAGAATCTGGGTACTTAGTTTGGGCAGAACAAAGCCAACCCCCTTGAAGAAGCAGCAGAGCACCCTGCTTTTCCTGCATAAGGACCCTGATCGAAACACATCTCTGCAAATCCTGTGGCTGGGTAGAAGGTCCAGAGATAAATTTGTGTCGTTGAAGCAAGAGTTTCCACACACGTTCTCATCTTGCGGCTTGCAGGTGAGTTATCAGCTGGCCAACGTGATGGATCTCTTCACCACTTGCCTCTCCCTGGCAGGACTGCAGCCTCCCAGTGACAGGCAGATCGACGGCATCGACCTCCTGCCTGTCCTCTTGCAAGGCAAACTAATTGACAGGTGAGTTATGAGCACCCCCCCCTTGTAGCTTTCTGCCGATCCCCCCTCCCCACCCTTAGCCTTATTGAGGTGCAGCAGAAATAGTTGGCTGTTTTTGGAGCCTTTTATTATAGAAGGGTTACTCCTGTCATTTGTTCGTGAGGATGAAGCACCTGCTTCCTAAAGCTTTTGCGGATGTTGTATCTGGAGCGCAAAACATACATCGGTGACTGCCTTGTCATTCCATGTAGCTTAGCGTTACTCTGCTGTTCCATAGGTCTCCCTAATTACCACTGAGATATACAGACCAAGTAGAATAGGTTTTGTTTTCCTTCTGTTGAGTCAGAAGTGAGAGGCTTTTTTCCACGTTCCATGTCATAAGCCATGACCGGATGTTGAAGTTTAGCAACACAGGAGCACCACACATTTGTTCATCCTTGCATTAAACTTGCAGATTTAATAGATGATGCTTCTACTTCAGTGTCCTTGATTTTCACAAAATTGCTCTGCTTAGGTTATGGGACTATGGCCTTTTTCTAAAGAGTCCCTTCCAACAGGTCAAGCTACAGACACAATACAATACAGGATACCAGCACGATTGGTCTAAAGTTCACTCAGCCTGATTAATTAATTTGGTCAATTAAAAACCACATAATTCCAGGAAAGACTGGCTTACTTCCCATCTCCCAATTCCACAACATTGAGTTTGTACAAATAATGTGGTGCACTTTTTTTTTTTTGAAAAATAATTGAAGGAAACATATGTTGCTCTATTCAAGTTCAAAGCAAATTGACAAAGCTTGGTTTTTCCTGGCTATCAGCTGGCAATTTGGCCTCCTGTATCTTTGGCATCTCCATCAGATAGGTGCCTTTCTCCCTTGCGTATTTTAAGTTGGCGACTCCTCCGTGTGAAATTACACAACCTGGTAGTTCAAGGATGAGCAATGACTGGCAAGACAATTGGTGTAACGTTTCACTCTGGCTTTGCTAGGCAAGCTCTGCTCTCCTCTTGAGGGATGCTTTAAAAAACGCTAATTGAAAACCTTGCAGAAGGGCTGTTAGAAGGCCGCCAGCCTGCCTGCTCCTGGCTGATAGCGGAGGAGTTGCCAGCCAGGCTTTGCTAAAGAGTTTGTCTCCCTTATCTCTGTCGCTGTGGGGGGAGGGGGGAAGCGACTTGTTTGGACATGTTACATTTCTCATGTGGCTGTACGTCTCTCTTTGTCCCTCCCCACCCTCTCTCCATCAGAGCAATATTTTATTACCGTGGCAACGAGATGATGGCAGTGCGGGTTGGGCTTTATAAGGCCCATTACTGGACCTGGAGCAATTCCTGGGAGCAGTTCAACCAGGTAATTGAAAATTCCTTCCTTCCTTCCTTCCTTCCTTCCTTCCTTCCTTCCTTCTCCGCTATTTTCAGAAGTGATGCTTCTCTCATCAAAAAATCTACCTCGAATACTTTTAAGGGAGTTACAAAGGTATTAAAAAGCTTTTAGCAAGGATCCATATTGTATTAAAAAGAAACATTTAGACTAACTCAGTGTTTTCAAACATAACAACTTTAAGACACGTAGACTTCAACTCCCAGAATGCTTAAAGCTGCCAAGTATGAAAAATACCGGGCTACCCCTTCCAATATGCTTAACTTTTCCTGGAAGTGGCTTCAGCTTCTCTCCCCAGTCTTTCAGTTGCTGTTCTATAAGGTCTCAGTAACAGCCCTTGGGGAGAGAAGGGAAGAGCCTTTCCCAGTTGCACTCAGACGTGCCTTGTTTCTCTGGTCAAGTTAAGCATCTCAGGCCTGTCTTTGCCTTGGATCTCTTGCTGCATGTCTGCCTGGTGTCTGTGAGAAAGCACAGTTTTTATAATGGAGCGACCTGTCCCAAGGTTATCCCCCTGTGAGTGGTGGCAGACATGCAATTACAGAATGTTTATTCCTTTCTAAGTCTTTATTTAACGGCAAGTTGATAAAAGTCAGCGATTATACTGTATATCATAGGGTGATTAAAAATCCATTGCTTTCCTGCTGCTTGTGTTGTCTGCGGTTGGTGTGGGTACAACTGGAGCACCTAATTAGTGGACAGAACCACCATTAACAACATGAAGATTGTGCGAGGGCTAAAATTTGTCCTATTCTTCTGGTGCAACACTAGCTAATAGCTGTTTTTTTTAAAAACAGAATGCAGAATATCATTACATTTTCGATTGCAGATGCTTGAAACCCTCCTGAAGTATAATAATAACAATAACAGTTGGAAGGGACCTTGGAGGTCTTCTACTCCAACCCCTTGCTATTTAATCTCCTTTTTGCATCTCCAGTTTTCTTATCAATATTATTGATAGTGAGGCTGGGAGATACATAAACAACAGCCACTTGAGGTTGTTGGTTCCTTTATCAAAAGGGAACATTAAACACCTATATTGAACATAAGAACAGGGATTGCAACAGCCCGCCAGTGGCTGAGACCTCCTCAATGGAATATGAATCAACTTTTTAATTGGATGTTTTGCTCTACTGGACCCAAGGGAATAATGCAGAATTTATCTAGAGGCGTCTTGGGATCCAACACATGTCCTCAAGTGGCTGGAATGCCTCAGTTCAAGGCTTGGGAAAATGGAGGAAATGAGTGTTCCTTTTGGTAGACAGGCCAGGTGAAATTCTCCGAATGAGACTGGAGACCCAAAGGTGTCGTTCTCTCCGCTGTGTGAAGTGATCGGAGTAGGGATCTCCTTCTCAGGTGCAGCTGGTTCTTCAACTATGGTTAGAACCTCAGTCGCTCAAGACTTTTGCTCCGGATGAGGAACTTTGTCCCAGATTTGCCCAACCCTGTTTATCTAAGCTTATCAGGAGAGGGCACCATTCTTGCAAAAAGCACCTGTTTTTCTTAAAATGCCAAAAGAAGAAATGCAAACCAACTCAGCAGGAAATCCACCTGGCTAAGAAGAAGCTGGCAGAGTTGTTTTGCAGCTGTAACTGACCGAGGAAGAATATTTACTTAGCTGCCATCCAGACACTGTAAAAGGGCCATTGTGATTTACAAGTGGTTCTTGTCTGCACAGTTTTAAGTTGTCATCCCTTGATTAATGGGTTGTGTTGAGCAAAAGGGAAGTTTAGGGCTTAGAGGACAGGTGTAAATAACTGAGGTATGAAAAATTACACTTCTGGAGGTACATTTTTTTCTGAACATAGTAATAGATAACTCTTTAAATCTGGGCAGACAGATTAACATCTCAGATGCACTGGAGAATCAATTAGAGATGCCGGAGAGTTTGAAGGTTTGGAAAGGAGGCAGAGTCTTTGGTACAGATGCCATGTTGCCTTGGAGATGTTAGGACACCCTCACCCCCCCCCCCCAGCCTGTCTCTACAGGATAAGGGGAGCTTGCTAGCTGCCCTTTCCTTTCCCAGGCCTGGAGTGGGGCAGATGAGGACACCACTCTTGGCCATTCATGTCTCTCAAGTCCAAAGCAGCCTTGCCCAGATGTGATGGGAATTTGGGGGAGTGGGCCCCTCCTCCCTCTCCCCCATCTGATCCTACCTTATCCTAAAGCTCATGCAGCAGTGCAGCGGTTTGCGTTACAAAGGTTTGGCATCCCAAAGGCATGTTTTAGCTCCCATTTTCAGGAAGGCAGGGTTGGCTGAGCGGATGGCATGTCCACAACAGGAGGATCGAGAGGGCAGCCGGGGGACGGGTGGCCAGATCGGTGGATATCAACGTGGGCACTTGTGGAAAGCCAGCTGGTCCCCCCCCCCACCTGCTGCTTAGCTTCTTGTTTATATTCCTTGAGCATCTGTCGCTGTTGGCTGGGAAACAGATGTAGGAGCACAACAACCCCAGAGCAGGCTGACCGAGGTGGTTGGTATGTTTTAGAGGGTGGAAATGGCACTGTGGAGGTTCAGCACCAGAGGCAGACCAGGCACACTGGACCCCTGATGAAGATCGGTTGTTCCTTATACAGTAGTTGTGATATTTGTTAATCTTGACCAGCAGCTTCTTCTGCTGCTTCACGGTAGCCAATGTGAAATGGATTGCTATAGCCTCTAAGCCAGTGTGTCTCAACCGTGGTGACTTGAAGATATTTGGACTTCAACTCCTAGAATTCCTCAGCCAGCATGGCTGGAAGTTGAAATCCAGACGTCTTCAAGTCACCAAAGTTGAGAAATACTGTTCTGAGCAGTGCACAAGATGTACAGAGGAAAAACTTTATATTTGAGTGGCATCAAATAAGGATGTGCAAATGTATGAAGATATGTGGAGGGAGCAGAGTGTCCTTCTGGTGTTTCTCCTCAAGAAAGGAGGAGAGCTGCAGTCTCTCTCGGGAGAAATAGATTGTCGCCTGCTGGCTCAACAAAGGCCGGCTTTGAGAGTGGGGCCAGTGGCACGGCCAGAGTGCTCCCCTGCACGTCCTTACTTGGAAATCTGTGTTCTCTCTCTTGCAACCCAGATCTGTGTCTAATGACCCGCAGGCAGATTTTAACCCACCCTTGGTGATTAGTTGAATGGCTAATTTCAAGCCTGTCTTAACATGGGAAGGCAACGCACCCTGTAAACAGAACAGCGTGGCAGCAAATATCCAGAGAATAAATTCTTCCCTCACGCAAAAAACCCACATTTGCACTATAGGAGCACCATACTAATTAGCATGCTCTTAATTAAATAGCCTTTTTGATTTGCATCCAAATTACAATTGTTCCGGTTTTGGCTTTTATTAGGTTTTTGGCTTTTATTAGCTGCTGTTGTTGTCATCGTATTATTTTCCTCTCTAGGAAGAGATTTGAGCTTTTCCTTTGCAGAAAAGCAAAGCTTGTTAGGTCTCTGGGCACCGAAGGTGAAAAGGTTGATCACCTCTGTAGCTATTTAAAATCCATTATGGGTTGTCTGCTGCAGCTTATCAAAACCCTCCCAGCCTTTTCTTTTCTTTTCTTTTCTTTTCTTTTCTTTCTTTCTTTCTTTCTTTCTTTCTTTCTTTCTTTCTTTCTTTCTTTCTTTCTTTCTTTCCACTGAGACAGCAATCTGTAGCTCTGTGCAGGTAAATGGGATTTTATGAGCTTCTAACCTTTCTTATTTTATTGAAAAGCAGAATATTAACTGCTCCACTGACCAGCCTATCCATTAAAGACACACGGGATATTTTTAGAAAATTGTTTGCCAATCACATCCCCTCCAACGTCTGCTGAGAGACTTTCGGCTGAGTGCTTGTTTTATGTGCAAGCAGGAGTGCAGCTGCGCCACCTCTCCGCCCTCCCTTAATAGCACCCTTGGTCTTCTGAAAAGCAACAGCAGTCTGGAAAGATGGCCTTGGGGGGAGGGGCCTGGGGGGCGAAGATTTGGGCTGGGCTGCTGTGACCATCAGAGACAGGCAAGGAGGACGTTCCTGCAAGAGGCACATACAGTCCTTCCCTGGTCCTGCCAAGGTGGAGGCAAGAGTCGAATGAGATAATATAGTCCAGATGTGCCAGGATGGAGAACACCATTTGAGGCAGAGGGTTAGCACTCCCATCCATGAGGACTTTCCTATAAAGAATTAAGAAATGATGCCCAGGGAGGGAAGGACCTTCCTAGGGGAGAACTGGACCTCACCCACTTGTCCTATTTTCTGCCATGCTGGTTCTCCTTTTGCCACCTGTGTAGATCCGGGCAGCCTGTTCAGGGTGAGATAGCTGGTGTATTCAGGGCTGGGAAGGGTTTCATCGGTCACAAAGTCTTTTTTAGCCAGGCAAGTTACCACGAATCAGTGCTGTTCCTAGGACATCTGGGCTGCCCTGGAGATGTTCCAGCCTTCACTCCTGTGTGCTCATGTGCTGGTGAACGAATCCAGAGGGTGGGTTCCAAGCAATTCCTAACATTGTAGATGGGTGTCCCAAAGGCGATTTTCCAAAAGGCAACTGGACTTTCTGGGATTTTTTCCTAGTAAATGTTTCACTTCTCATCCAAGAAGATTCTTCAATAAACAGAACTGAAGAAGCTTCTTAGATGAGAGGTGAAACATTTTCAAGGAAGAAACCAAGAATGTCCAATTGCCTTTTGGAAAAGCATCTTTGGGACAACCATGACCTGGATGACTGAGAGCCTCAGTAGACACGTGGGTGGGTAGGTGGAGTGTCTACTGCAGTAAGCAACTGAGAGGGACAGAGAGATGATCCCAAAAGAAACAATTTGCGTTTTAGCTTGATGCACCAAGGTCCAGATACGGCCTGTGCTTGGATGGAGAGCAATTGAGTGAGATGCTGACAAACGAAGACAGAAATCATTTGGGCCTCTGCAGCTCCATCTCTTTGGCCTTCCCTACTGACTGCTTCCTCCTTTCCTGCTTTAGGGCATCGATTTCTGCCCAGGGCAGAATGTTTCTGGAGTCACCACCCATGACCAAGAGGAGCACTTGAAGCTCCCCCTGATCTTCCACTTGGGAAAGGACCCTGGAGAAAAGTATCCAATCAGGTGAGGGGGGAGGATACCAGAGCGAGAGGAGCCTCCAGTCCAGGGAAGGAAAAGGGGTTACGTGGACATGCTAGGCAGGGAAGACCACTCCACTCTAGGTGGACCTTTGGTGGTTCTCTCTTTTCACCCCCACTCCAATTGTGGAAAGTGCCCGTGCTAAACTCCTTGCTGTCTCCAGCCTGGTAGAAACGTCCCAGGTTTTCTTCCTTGCAATCCAGTCATTTCCATTTGCAGGGCTGGGCTCTAGGGCAGTAGGCGTGTTGTGTGTGTCTTTCTTACTATAACTTAATTATCCCCCTTCGAGGCCAGCCTGTGGGGAGTGCCTGTGTTAATTGCGGGTGGGGGGGGGAGCACTTTCTTGTCCAAAGACAATTTGACTTCCAGCATGTGTCAGCAAGGGCCGTGTTGCCTGCAGGCCAGCAAAACAACAGTATTTTTGTCCACAGGGAAGGGGAAGCTTTACATCTGGGAGTACCAGCCTCCTGGCTCTTTTTTTCCATAGACTGCCATTGAGGAGAAGGAGGCTTCTTCTGTAAAGATGCAGGCAGAGCTATGAAGTTTAATCAACCTCAGCAACGTTAAGATGGCTGGACTTCAACTCCCAGAATTCCCCAGCCAGCTGCGAGTTGAAATCCACACATCTTAATGTTGCTGAGGTTGAGTAACCCTGGACTAGAGGCCAAACAGTCGTCGGATGTAAAGGGGTAAAGGATGAAGGGACGTGAAAAGAAGCTTCTCGGTTGCAGGTGGAGCCTGGTCAGCCTCCTAGAGAGAGCAATTCTATAAACAGGTCCCTCCCCCCAAGGAAGCCCCCGCCCCACCCTTGCAAATGACCCAAACCATTTTGCCACGAGGGTTGTCATCCCTTGGATTCGCAATAATGCTGGAAAGGGAGGGCAAAGAACCTGAAGCATGCCTGGGAGGAAGCCGGGCGCTACTCCCCCCCCCCTTCCTCTTAGTTTCAAACTGATGATCCTGCAGGCCACAGCAGAGTTAACAATGGAATGAGCTCCATCCTCCGGATCTGCTTCAAGCGGGAGGAGAGGGGGCAGATTGCAGGAGCACAATTACACTAAATGAACTAAACACACATCACACCTGTGTCTGGGACTGCCGGCCTCCCTTCCATTCCTGATTGGCTCTCTGGGGTCCCTCCCGGAGGTAAAGTGTTAATTAATGTAATGACCCTGGACTCCGTCCACTCTGTGCCTTCATCCTGAGTCTGGAATAATTCCGGTACCAAGGGGGGGGGGGAAATCTCGCAGGCAGCCTCCTCTCCACACCAGCTGCTCACCCTGCACCGGCTCGCTCTTCTTCCCTTTCATTCTTCCGCTGCAGTTCCCAGCCGCTCTGGGGGAGGCTTGAAGAGACGGAATATAAATTTGGGGCATCCCGGGGGCAGAGCGGCCTATCGCTTGCCGGAGACATTCAAGACACCTTGGCAGGCACAGCCCGGTGGCTACCACCAACATTGTGGATTCAAACTGAGCTCCCTTGTCGTTGTTTGGTCTTGCCTGCTGGGCGAGGGTGGCTCTGATTCCCAAGGGTGGAGCTGCTGGCCGTTGAGACCGGATGGTGCTCGCCAAGCACATCTCCCTGGGAGCAGAGCGGGGACCTGGACGGGCCTGCCACCGGTTGATGGATGGGTGCTGCCTCGGTTCTGCCTTGAGTTAAGCAGGCCATTCTGGGCCCTCAAAGGTGGGTGGGCAGCCTCCATCTAGGGCAGTCTTGCCTGTCCTTGTACAGCAGTGTTTCTCAGCCTTGGTGGTCTTGAGAGGTCTGGACTTCAACTCCCAGAATTCCCCAGCCAGCCTGCTGGGAATTCATTGCATTCTGGGGATCGAAGGCCAGGCCTCTGAAAGTTGCCAAGATTGAGAAATACCGTTCTAGAGGGTCTGCTGCTGCATAGCCCAGGACCTGTTTTGCTGGGTAGTGGATCCCTTAAAGTTAACTTCCCAGCTGGGAAGGCAAGATCAGATCACCAGCTGGGGAAACTTCCCTCTGCCAACTTCCTTCCACTTTGCTCAGCCCCACCGTGGAGCCGGATTGCAAGCAACGACACACTTCCTTTGGGGCACCGGAGGATTGCCCAAGAGGACGGTACCAACAGGAGTGTGTGGGAAGTGCTGCCACGTCCCAGGCTTGTGATTGTGGCTGATTTTGGAGAAGGAAGTGGGCTGGCTACAGCCTGACAGCTGGACACCACAGTGAGCTCAGACCCGAAGCAAAAGGGAAGCCTGCGTGGGCCATCGTTTCCATTTTGTCTCTGAATGTGATTTGCAGTTGTTTGTTCCCTAAGGGACTTTTAACATGATAGGCAGAATGAGATCGCTAAATCTAAGCCCTGAGATGTGCTTGAAATAATACCGCAGTGAAAAAGAGCATTAATCCACTTAAAGAAATACCTGCCAATGTTTATAATCCTGGTAAAAATAAGGGGGCCAGGAGGAGGGCGAAGCTGCTCCTTAAGGTAGAGGATAGCAACTAGCCCTCAGCCCAGAGCAGTTCAGCGCACGGGGAGTTTTTCTCAGGCCAGGAGACCTTTCTCCTACGGGGGAAAGGTGGGGGTCGTTGTTCGGCCCCAAGAGCCACTGTTCCGTTAGGGAGTGGTAGGGGATCTGCTCTGGAGGCAGAAATCTTCAGTTGCGGATGAAAAATACTGTGGATTTTTACAGCGCGATCGGCTAAATCTGGACCACATACCGTGATCCCCAGCGAGAAGATCCCTTTCCCTGGATGCCTTCAGGGTGATACTAAACAGTCATCTGTGGGGGATTCTTGCACTGAACAGGGGTTCAGACTGGATGGCCTCAAATGGACCCATCCAGGTTTGGGATTCTATAAAGCCTCAGTTGGCTGGGATGACTGGCCAGCGTGTCCTCAACCAACATTTGGCTTAGGAAACAGTTGGGACTGCAGCAGGGCGTGTTTCTGGCCAGGTATATCGGGGTTCCCTGCCTTTGGGGTTCTGTGACAGCTGCGGTTCTATTTCAGCTTCTCCAGTGCCGAATACCAGTCTGTTTTGGAAAGGGTCTCTCACATTGTCCAGGAGCACAAGGCCACGCTGGTGCCAGGGCAGCCTCAGCTGAATGTCTGTGACAAGGCAGTCATGGTAAGGCATCGAAACACAGAGGAACTGAAGTTCCAGGGCTCCTATTCTGCCTTGTGGAGCTGGCTTGTCTGCTTTGATGCTGGAAACCACCGGGCATCTCTGCTGGGTGGAGGTCTAGTGGGAGGGGAGGGGAGTCACGAGCTTCCCAAGGGCAAAACTCCTCTCTCCCACTGCCAGGCTTAGCGTCTTCCTTGCAAAATTGACGTGAAAGAAGGGCTGCCCTTTGTATGCCAATCCCTGGGAAGACATTGTTGGTCTGCTCCGGCCAGGTGGGCCCACAGAAAAGCCAAGTGGGTGCCGCCCCTCCAGGCGAGCTTCCTGGATGGGGGTAGCCTTGGTCAGCTGGCATTCGGCCTCTCCTGTGGCGGGAGGATCGTGCTGCACTGTCCTCACCAAATGGGAAGTGTAAAACGATGCGTTGGAGTGTCACTCAGCAGAAGTCACGGTGAGGGCAAAGTAACTCCCACCCATTCCTTAAGGACCCTGACTGTAGGTGTTTCCCGCCTAGTCAGAAGGCTGCATCCAGGTTTCGAGGTGTGTTTCCAGTGGAGGGTGTTCCAGGTGGAAGAAGCCCCGTTGAAATAGCCCTACAGCTCTCAGCTTGCCTGGAGCTGCACTTGCTGCAGGCTGGATTTATACTTTGACCTGAAATGTAAATCCTTGGATGCAGCCTTCTGCAGCTGGCCTTCTGCACTGCACCTACAGCACTTCCCCCTTCCCTCTTTGAAGCCCCCCCCCAGTGAGAAAATGCAGCTGTCGGTTGCAAAAGGTCACCTTTTAGTCCAGGCAGCCTTATTTTAATTGGTTTTGCTTAGCATGAAATCCTAAGACAGAGAGGAAGCAACCTGCAGCAAAACTGTGCATTTAGGAGAAGGAAAGAAATCAGGGAATTCTAGTTCACCCAGAGCCCTAAGCCAAGGTTTGTGGATTGATGTCTTAATAAATAAACTACAATTCCCTGGGTTTACATTGGGCTTCCAAGCCCACAATGGCTTGCTTTACAGAATCTGCTGAGTTCAAAACCACACAAACCACCGGATGGTTTAGGACAGCCGGAAGACACCTTTTGCAGCCCAGGAGGCTCCCCTGCCACGCTCTTAGGAGGCTGAGCTTAATGGTGTGGTAATGCCTTCTGCTCCACTGTTTCACTTCCTCCCCGTAGCATTTTGGAGGTGGAAAGCGGGCTTTGAAAGCCCTGTTAATTGCCCTTTAAGTTAACCAGATAGAGGGGGGGGTGACAGGCTTTCCAGGGCCTCCTGCTCTCCTGGTTGGGCATCATTGCCCCCTGGTGTCAGCCGTGCAGAACTCAGAGCTGCAGCAGGAGCTGGCCCATGCAGGCAGAGGCTCTCCTTCACTCCCTGGCTCAGCAAAACCAGGAAAGGGAGGCCAGCAGGACAGAGTGGGTGAGGACGACCCTTTAGCAGCTGACAGCCGGATTCGTCCATGGGTGGGCGGGCTTCAGAAAAGGAGAGCTGCGGGGGTGGAGGAGGTGCTGTAAATGCTGTGCAGGAGATGGAAGTGAGTGGGGCAGCCTTTAGTAGCGGGCAAGAAAGGGAGCGGGAGATGGCAGAGAAGTGGGGACGTCGGCTGGGCTGACCTGCATCCACAGATGCTTTGTACACCACAATCGGGGGCTTGTTCGCATTAGCCGATGTGGGGAGATTTGGCTCTGGCTGGAGGAGGCGTCTTTGTCCAGATGCGTTTTAAGGGGAAGGGGCTGCTCCACAAAGGGTCTGGTTGAAGAAAGAGGAAGAGATGGAAGGAGCAAAGGACTTTGCTGGGGGGGGGTGCCACCCTCTCTCCTAGTGCCCAAGGTGGGCAGCTGGCTTGGGCGAAGCCTCCCGTTCCTCCTCCTCCTCCTGAGTGGCAGAAAGGGCTTCCATGCATGGGACACACAGCCCACCCCCATCACTCCAGGGGCTGGTTATCCTCCCTCTCCCGACCCTTCTCCCCCCCCCCAGGAGGAAACGTTCCCTCCTTGGAAGCCGAAGGAGCCTTCTCTCCTTCCTGACATTGCCTCTTCTCTGCACAAGGCTGGTTCCCCCCTTCAGTGTCGCTATGTAAATGCCTTCTAATCCATCAAGCTGCTCATTAAAGCAGTTCTTACCGCCCTCACCCCTGGCCTCCTGAGGCTGCCGTCTTCCCCGGGGCTCCTGGGAGAAGCTCCACAAACATGTCTGTGCAAAATAATGGCGGAGCATCGGCCTCGAGTCCTACGCTGTGCCGATTACACAAAAAAGTATATCTTTAAGCCCAAAAGGTCCGTATGCAAATGTTACTCAATAGAACATGGAATCAGAGGGTTGGGAGGGATTTCAGAGGTCTTCTAGTCCAACCCCTTGCTCAAGGCTGGAGACCTTATACCAGGGGTAGGCAACCTTGGCTCTTTTATGACTCGTGGACTTCAACTCCCAGAATTCCTGAGCCAGCCATGCTGAGGGGAAAGGGAGAGATTTCCAAGCTGAGCCATGGTGGCTCAGGAATTCTGGGAGTTGAAGTCCACCAGTCATAAAAGAGCCAAGGTTACCTACCCCTGCCTTATACCATCCCAGTCAAGCTGTTGTTCAGTCTCTTTTTGGATTCTGAAGGGCTAGCAGGGCTCCTTGTTTTGGTCTGTTGGTGTTCTGCCTTTCACTGAGGAGCTTGGGGGGGGGGGTCTGCAGCGGGCACTCTTCTCTGGTTGGCGTGTGCTGAATGGGCATGGCGAGTCCCACGGTGGCTATTCCGATCAGATGGGATGATCCATCGGCCACAGCCAGCACAGATGCTTGGAGCATTTTCCATGCAGAAGCTGAAGCTGGGGGGAGGCAAGGGTTTCTTAGAGTGGGGAAGGGGAACCACTGCATCTCAGTCAAAGGAACAAGCCCCTCACTGGCTTTGCAGCGGTGCCACTTTTGAGGAAGCAGAGAGATCCAGGGCTGGCTTCACACTGGCACAAGAGCCCTCGCTTTTTGCGATGAGGGCAAACTCTCTCTCTTTCTCTCTCTCTCTTCCAGAACTGGGCTCCACCAGGCTGTGAGAAGCTGGGGAAGTGTTTGAAATCTCCCCCTCCCGACCCAAAGAAATGCTCTTGGCCTCACTGAGGGCCTGGCCTTGGCAAACCGCTGTCCGGCAACTGTTGCCACCCACCCTGAGGAAGGTGACTCGGGCTGCTGCTGCTGCTGCTTGTTCAGAAGGAAGCACCACTGTGGCTTTGAACTGGGGCGACTTTACTCTCCCTGAAGTGAGCCTCTCCAGAAAGGAAAATAGGCTTGATGTACTTGCAAGCTGCAGGGTCTCCTTTAATTTAGAGGAAGGGCCTACCCTGAACTGACTGCAGAGGAGAGATTTACGACCTCCTGGATCCAAGGGGGGATCTCAGGATCACCAAAGTCTTTTCAAGACACGGGTACTTGGAACCAACCCCTTTTTGGGAAGTGCCAAATCCTAAAATTAATCAGCTTCTGCTATTGTGATTTTTATTTTTTTAAACGAATTAGTTTTCTATCTGTTGAGGCCAATTTTTAATACTGCTGAGCGTTTGTAAGAAATGAAGGCTGCCTATATACTTGAGTGGTTCGGTTGTGTCTTTTCCTGGAGTTCTTTGCCAGAATAAAGCAATGGATGCTGGAAGGCCCTGCCTTTGAAACTCTGCCGTGACTTCAACGTGAGCGCTTGAAGGGTCCCTCCGGGATGGGAGGAAAGGCAGAGCTGCATCTCTGGAGATGCCCCATCCTCCTCCAGGCCGTGGTGGTCCCAACGGCGCTTTTCCAAAAGGCAACTGGACTTCCTTGGTTTCAGCCTTCGAAAACGGTTCGCTTCTCGTCCAGGAACTGAATCAACCTTTTCGAGGGAAAGAACCTTCCGGGGAAGCACCTTCGGGGCAGAGCTCTTGTCTCTGAACTCCGAGCGAAGGCGGGTCGAGCATTTCTTTGGCGGGTGGCTGAGCCTTCTCGAGGGGGACCCTTAGGCCGGCCGGTCCTGCGCCCGCCTGGGAGAGAAATGGCGAGAGGGAGGGAGGGAGCGAGCGAGCGCCCTCCCCCCTTTGGCACCTGGGACCGAGCGCGCACCTGGGCACAGTAGGGAGGGGGCGCGGGGGGGCCTCCTGGAACGGCGGATCCTCTCCTGCGGGGGCGGGCGGCCCGAGAGCCCCTCCCCCTTTTCCCTGGCCGGCCCTCCCCGGCTCCTCCCCGCGCATGCCAGTTGCGGAGGAAGGCGCAGCCCTTTTCGCCATGAGCTCCGAGGACGAACAGAAGCGGCGCCTGGTCCGCGAACGGATCCGGGATTTCCCGGACTTTCCATCGCCCGGGATCATCTTCCGGTACGGGGCCGGGGGCAGAGCCGAAGCCGCGGCTGGAGTGCCTGGAATGCCCTTTGCCCAGGCCGGCCTTGCCGGCTGAAGCGGAGGGGAATCGGGCGAGGCAATCGCGCCTTCACTGCAACTCCGAAAGCGGGACTCCCCCGCCGTGGCCCCGAGAGACCCTCCCGCGCGGCAGCTGCGGGCTCTGCCCTCGCTTAGCTGGCCGGTCCTCGGGCGGCGGCTCTCCCGGCCCGCCCGCCGGGCTTTTTCCCACGCGCTGACCCGGGGCGGGAGCGAGGAGGGTGGAGGAAGAATCCCGAGGAAAGAGTGCGCTTCTTGGGAGGGATTACGGAGTCTCTCGACCGCCGTAGGCCAAGCCTCTTGGCGGCCCCGCTGGCCCTTCCAGGGCTACCTGCGTCCCATTGTCGGGAAGGCCAAACTCGGGGGAGGAAGGAACTCCTGGAAGGCGGGACTCCGAGACTCCGACTCTCCCCCCGGTTGAGCAAGTGCTCGCTCCCCCCCCGCCGATACTATGCATCACCTTGGAAAGCCAAGCAGAATGAAACGAGGCTCCCAGGGCAGGCCCAGGTAAAGCAGGCCCTTGACTTGTAGAAAAGCGCACCGAGGAGATTCCTGCAGCCTTGTGGCGCCCCTCCCCATCCTTTCCTTCCTCCTCCCCAGGGACATCAGCCCCATGCTGAAGGACCCCCTGGCGTTCAAAGCGGCCATCGACCTGCTGGAATCCCATATTAGGGCCTCCCACAAGGAGTTCGACTTCATTGCAGGTGAGTCAGAGTGGGAGAGAGGGGGGGGTCTCACCCGAGGTCTCATCTGAGGTGGAGCTTTGGGGTGGGACACGCTTGGTAAAGACCGAGGCCCCCTTCTCCCCTCTGGAAAGAGCCCAGCATCTGAGGTTCTGCCTACAAATGATTCCCTCTTGCAATTCTCAAAAAAGTACTAGGTTAGTGTCTTAGCTTTCATTGGGGGCATAGTGCTCTTATGGATCTGCATTGTCCCGTTTCTGTCTGCCTTGGAGAAGCTCACCAAGGACAGAGAAGTGTGTGTTTTCCCCCAAAATTTCCTTGCCCGCTCCAAAGAAAGTCTGAACTGAGCTTTCTCCTCAGTGTGCCAAGTTTCTATGGAACGGGCAGTAGCACAGGTGTGTTCCCTCACCTGCCCCTCCTCCTCCTCAGACCTCCTGAGGGACTTGCCCTCTGGGGTGACCCTTTTTTGCTCTGCTCTGCCAGGCCTTGATTCCCGCGGCTTCCTCTTTGGGCCGGTTTTGGCCCAGAGGTTGGGGGTTGGATTCCTCCTCATCCGCAAGAAAGGGAAGCTCCCGGGACCCACCGAATCCATCTCCTACGCGCTGGAATATGGCAAGGTAAGTTTGTGCAGCTCCGACAGAGTTGCTTCTGGGAGTGAAAAGCAGCAGCAAAGTTGCAGATGTTCCAACACGAGGTTTTTTAGAAGAGTTTGGATAACCATTTGTCTGAAATGGTATGGGGTTTCCTGCTTGAGCAGTGGGCTGGTCTAGAAGACCTCCAAGGTCCCTTCCAACTCTGTTATTCTGTTAACGACACTTGGCTCACCTGCTCACAGCCTGTCAGGGGAAACCTGTGGGGTTAGGATGAAAGCCCAACCGTTCTCCTCCTTCCTGCAGGCCGAACTGGAAGTCCAGAAGGACGCAGTGGAGCCAGGACAGAAAGTCATCATAGTGGACGATCTGCTTGCGACGGGAGGTAAGCGATGGCTGGCCGAGCGGGGAAGGGGTTAGCAATGGGCTTTTTCAATTCCAAGCTGGGGAGTGGGAGCCTTTGGTTTTTCCAGTGCTGGGCAGCATTCCACAAACAAGTACACCATATCTCCCATCATCCCCAGCCTCCAGGGCTTTCAGCCTCCAAGTTGAGAAAGCTTGGACATAGGCCTTCAGGCAACATTGGGAGCGCCTTCATTTCAGGAATTACAAAAGTCATTGGGGAAAGCTGGATTCACTTAACAGTCATGTATTTCACAATAACTGGCAAAAGAGGTCATAAAAGTGGGTGCAATTCACTTAACCACCAACTTGCTTGGCAACAAATTCTGGTCACAAATTAACTCTATTTTATTGGCGCAGCTCAGAACATGTCCAGTGGGGCTTTCTTCCAGAGTGGGCTTCTCCCATCTCCTCTCCCCCACCCACCCCTCCCTTTATTTAAATCCTATTTTACCATCTCCCTTAATAAGAACTTCCCTTTGTAAAAATTTGAGCTATCTCTTATCACTTTGCACTTTGTCCTTGCAACACCAGGACAACTCTTGCAACTTTTGAATTGTTTCAAGACAATTGGTAACTTCTGCTGCTGTAGAACATTTTGTGCCATGGGGTGGGGCCGGAGGGGGCCTTAGGGGGAAATACGGGGATTCCCCAGGAGTGCACAAGTGAACTCAATTGTAAAGGAAGGAGGGGGGGGTGTGAACTAAGGCTGCATGCCAATTACCTACCGCCTCCTTTTTATAGCAAAAAAAGAGATTGGTCTTAGCAACAGTGCTTAAGTACTGCAAAGGATCAGATGAGAGGCCTTCTGTTCCCCATTGCAGGCCCACAAGTGGGGCAGGATCCTTCGAGTCCCACCCCCACAACTGGTAGAGAAGGGTGGCATCTAATCCATACGCCACGTGGCCATCGTAGTTGGCATCCAGGGTGGTGGTGTGGCAAAGGCGCTCAATTGGGAACAGGGAGACCTCGGATTCCTGAAGAAAAAGCAGGGCCTAAATTTACCATAATATTTTTCCACCATCCTCTTGGTGCCCCTAACGGCTCCTCTTCCCTCCTTCCCTCCCAGGTACCATGCGAGCCGCCTGCGAGCTGATGACGAAGCTCCAGGCCGACATTTTGGACTGCCTGGTACTCATTGAGCTGTCCTTCCTCAAAGGTGTAGAGGCCCTGAAGCCCTTCCCCCTCTATTCACTGTTGCAATACCACTGATGCATTGGGTTAGTTCCCCCCCGCAACCTGGCTCCACCGTCCTGTTTTCTAGTCGTGAACTTTGCAGGGGAGGGGTCCTGCCACTTCCTTGCACGTTGGCCAAACCTTGAGCAATCCGGAAAGGCTGGGTGTAGTTCCTTAACATGGCACACCGAGTACTTTAAATACAATTTGAAACCTGAATCAAGGGCAGCCAAAGAACTTTGGCAACAAAGCCCTGCTGGTTATAGCTGAGGCACGTGTGGATCTGTTCCTGAGGATTCCGATGTTCATCTCATATGCATCAGTGTTTCTTGCCAGAAGCCAGAGGGAAAGAGGATGGGCCCACGGCCCCCAGAAAGCCAGTTTGCTGGGCCTTAAGCAACCCAACCACAAAACCATTTGACCGACTTCACTCTCAATCCCACATCAGCCCTGTGAATGTTCCTGGCAATTCCACTTGGACAAGGCCAGCCAGAGTAGAGGCTAAACGTGTCTATTCATGTAATTTGGATTACTTGGTAGGTGAGGATGTATCTTCCTGTTGTGACTAGAGGGCTTCTTGTCTCGCTACCCTAGAAATTGCTGGAACGAATAAACACTTCTGTAAAACTATTTGCTATTCAAGACATAGTGCTCTTGTACCTTACCCTGATGGGGCTCCTTAAGGTCCTGTGGCCAAAGGGGGCTACAAGCAGAACTGCTCAAGGGGGGGGGGGTAATCTCTGATGCTTGGGGAGCTGCTCCAGAGCCAGCCTTGGGCTTTTGCTTGCACTCGGGGAGCGGAGGGGGTAGAGAAGTGCTTGTCCAGCTTCAAGTAAATGGAGTTTAATGCCAAGTTTCATATACAAATCGCATTTCAAGACAGAACAAGCCTTTCTTTAAAAGAAAAAAAAATCGTCCCTCTTTGCTCTCAACTCACGGACAGGATGTGGGATTCCAACCTCCCCCCCCCTCCTGGAAAAGCAGCTACACCTTTTCCAAACTTCCCAAGAGACAAGAATGTTTTGTTTGTTGAATCATATAATGCCCACCCTCCTGTTGTGGCTGCGCCAAAAAGCTCGCGAGTTTTCCGTTGGAGAAAATCCTTCTGTTTAGAACAAAGACAAGAAAAAAGGGTATACTCCCCCCAGGAAGTCTATTTTCTGGGGGTCTTCCTTTCCCCCCCCCCCCAAATCAGAGTGTCTCCTCTTTCCGCTTTCTTGCGGTCAGCCTCTCGGTTACAATATTGAGGTCCATGGCCTTGTCCAGCTTCAGGTAACTCTCTTGGCGAATGGGAAGGATGCGCAGCCAATCCGGCAGGAGCTCTGCGAAGAGGTGGAGGTGCTTTTCCATCTCTCCTGCAGGGGGAAAAGGGGGTCAACATCAGAGGCCTGCCAGGTTTGAGGGCCATCACTTGTGACCAGGGTCCTCGATGGGCAGAGGTCTCCCCAAACCCTGAAATCTCAGTTCACAGGACAGCAGCTCTTTTGCCGATCAAATTTGCGCCCGTTTTTCCCCAGCTGAATCTTTGGAAACCGCCTGAAAACCCCTCCACACTAAATCCAATGCCAAGCTGCCCTAGATGGACCAATCGGCTCAAACTTTGAATGGTTTGTCACAGAGGTGTCCAATGTTGGCAACTTTTAGGACTTGTGAATGACATGGCTGGGATTTGTGGATGTAAAGACGTGGCCGGTTGACTGGGGAATTCTGGGAGTTGAAGTCCACAAGTCTTAAGACTTGGGAGAGGACTAGTTGCTCGGCAGACCTCTCAGCCCAGGCTCTCCTGAACTGGTTGTCCTGTTGGGGTTGCCAAGTCATCTGGGCTGCCAAAGGCGGTTGGGCTTTGTGGTTACTGAGTAACTAGTGGGCAACCTTCTCCCACCCCAGAGCCGCCCACCCGCCTGCCTTACCCATGGGCATGAGAGCTTGGTAGCTGTCCATCATCCGCTGGCATGCCGCTTCCATAGAGAGGGCCTGCTTCTTTTCTGCCACAAAGATGTTGCGCAGGATGCGTGCCATCTCGGGCAGACGGGTCAGCATCGCCAGCCGCTGCTCCTGCTGGGGGCTCCGTGTCATCAGCGCCTGCAGCTTCTGAGCCTCCTTGGCCCTGACCTGGGGGGAGAGGAGGTGGGTAAGGGGGCAGTCTTGGGCTTTGGCACGGCTGCTCGAATTCCAACTGTGGGCATCTGGCTCCAGGCAAGTCTCCTGCTTGGAGGTACCCAGCTTTGGTTTTCTTCTTTAGCAGGTTTTCATAACCTTGTTGACTTTGAAGACCTCTGGATTTCAACTCCCAGAATTCCCCAGACACCCATGGTTTTAAAAGTTGCCATGGTTGGGAAAACCTGTCCTATAGAGTAGGTGTGGCCATGGCCAACAACTTCAACTGGTGGGCTGGGGGGGGATGAGAAAGGGCCCATCCTCCCATCCCCAGAGGCACAAGAGATATCCTCCGACAGGTCAAGATGCGCCCTGGGAAGCTGGCAGCAGCCACAGCTGGAGCAGTGGGTAAACTCACCCTTTCTACTAAGGACTGTGAGACGCCTTTCAGGCTGTTGGGGGTTCCAGGCACAGCTGGGCGAGGAGGCTGCGGGGTGGGGGGGCTGCTATCTGCCGTCCTTAGGACCAGGTTGGTTAACGCCTTTTCCATCTGTTTGGGGAGTCCCAAAATGCAGGTGCTCTTTTTACAAATTATTTGCAAAGGCTTGTGGTGTGTAGATCAATCTGGGGCAAGATTGCCAACCCCCCCCCCACGCCCCCCAGGCTGTACCTTAGGTGTCAGCATGCCTTGTGCCTTGGCCAGCACCTCCTGCGCAGTGGTGACCCTGTCCACCTGGGGAGGCTGGGGCAGCTCAGTGGGCACAACATCAGGCACTTCGTCTACCCGGAAGCGAGGGTGCCAGCGGGTCAGCTCATCCTCTGCTATCACCATTGGAGGGTCCAGAGAAGCCAGGAACGCCTAGCAGGAGTCAAGCACAAGTCTCAAGATAGGGGAAATGCCACATTCCTGCCCTGCAGGAAGGGATGCCAAGCTGCCCCCCAGAAGTGCTTGCCTTGTGGTGCTCCTTGACCATGGCAGTCAAGTTCTTGCAGAAGATGCTCCGGCGTTCCATCAGCCGGGAAGCGGTCAGCTTCTCCCCTGGGAGTAAAAGGAGGAATCAGCACACGAGAGGCTCAGGACCATCCCCCCCCCTTAGCCCCCACCCCAATCCCGCACGCTTTAGGGAAGCAAGGAAGGTGGTGGCATCCAGACAGACATCAGCAGGTCCTCATTTCCTAACAGGAGCTGGGCAAAAAAACCCTTTCTTGCTGGAAGAAAAAGCCCAAAAATCACTGTAGACAAACACCAAGACTGAGTTCACACAATGTGCTTAACTTGGGTTTGTAAACTTAGTTTTCAGAGGCTTCCGTGTGATGCAGTGGCCTCCTGCCCAGACCCACCTGCTCCCAGCCCTGGTTCGACAGTCAGCTGGTAGGTGCCTCGCTTGCCTGGTCCACCGAAGGCAGGGATGTTTCTCTCTTGGCGCAGAACGTAAGAACCCGGGTACACCGTTTTTATCTGTCCCAAGTGCTGTTCTTCAAAGCGCCTACAAGACAGGAAGCAGAGTAGTGGGCAATGTCAGCTTTCGGAAGACCACGACCAAGCCCAGAGCGAGCCCTGCATGGATGGGAAGCTGTGTTCTCACATAAGCCCCACGGAAAGCTCCGGTCCTGGGTCCAAAGCATGGGTGTCCAACCATCATCACTTTTAAGATTTGAGGACTTCATCTCCCAGAATTCCCCAGCCAGCCCCGCTGGGAGTTGGAAGTCCACAAGTCTTAAAATGGCCAAGGTTGGACATCCTTGGTCTAAAGCAGGGGTAGGCAACCTTGGCTCTTTTAAGATTCGTGGACTTCAACTCCCAGAATTCCCCAGCCAGCATAGCTGGCTCAGGAATTCTGGGAGTTGAAGTCCACGAGTCATAAAAGAGCCAAGGTTGCCTACCCCTGGTCTAAAGCCATGCTTGCACGGGTGCCCAGAAGTCCGTCCGATCCGGCACCTGAAAGGGAACTCACTTGCGCATCATGTCCTGCACGCCTTGCTTGACCTTGGCAAAGGTGACCGCTTCCGAGCGGTTGAACATCATCGCCACGATGGTGTCCGTGCTGCGGAACATCTCAGCCAGCGCCTTGTATTTGTACGGCAGGAGAAGACCAGGGGGCACGTCTTGCGCGAGGGTGTGGAAGCGCTGGTAGGCAGGCACCTTCTCACTAGCCAGGAGGGGAGAGAGGCTTCACATGGTGGGCTTCTCACTCTGGCCAACTGAATCAGACCTGCTGTGACCCAGCCGCACCTCCGATCGGTAGGATTAGCCTCCTCCCCAGCTGATTCAGGATGGACAGAGCAATTTCCCCACCTGATCTTGGCTGTGGATTTTAGATCCTTCCTTTCCTCCTTCGGGGAGAGCTTCCCCTGGCGGATCTTAGATTCCAGCAACCGGGCCCGTTCCAGTCGGCTCTTTAGGTCGCCACCAGATTCCAGGTTGGCGGCTCCCCCCTTGATCTTCTGCACCAGGCTATGGATCTTGCCCAGACGGCCCCTCAGCTCCAGGAGCTGCTTTTGGGATGCATCCTGCCCAGAAGGTGGAGAGCTCAGCAAGGCGACTGCCCCCTCCTGCCTTTTTGCTGGGCTGGGATTGTGCAATGAAGCAGTGCCCCCACCCCCTTGCGGAACTGCATTAGGAGGTGGGGGGGGAGGGAGGAAGGCTGGCCAGGACACAAAGATGGGGAAAGGCATGGTGAGCAGGATTGGCACTGATGACGTTTAGCTCAGCTCTATCCTATAATGCTGGTGTCCAACTTTGGCAACTTTAAGACCTGTGGACTTCAACTCCCAGAATTCCCCAGCCAGACCTGCTATCTAAGACTCACCTTCTCCTCCGGACTGGCCGCAGCTGTTGAGGTTCCCCCCAACTTCAAGCGAGGCGAGAGAATCTCATTCACCAACTCCTTCGCTTCCTTATCCAGGGCGGAGGGGCTGGGAGGCCCCAGAGCTGCAGGGCACGTGGGGCAAGCAGAGACCTGAAACAGAAGCAGACATTCGGACCCCCAACCAGTCAAACCTCGGGGTTCACCCCCCCTCCCTATGTGACAGAGTCCTGGCAGCCAAGCAAATCTGGCCGATGCCATTAGGTGAGATGGGGCAAAGCAGAGAAGGGGAGGCAGCCGCCCAGAGTCCTTTTGTAGGGGAGACAGGAGGCATAACAATTTAATAAATAAAATTTATGCCGCTTTCTCAGTGGGCTTGCAGCAGGCAGCCTGGAAAAGTCGGGCAGATTGGCAGGATGGGGGGAGGGCTGTTTCCGTTCATGCAACCGAGCACTAGCCCGGGGCAGAGGCCTTTGTTGGAAGCAGCTGCGGAGCAGCACCAGAGCAACATGTGGAGAACCCCCCCCCCCGCCCCAGTCGAACCGGGGTCAAAATGGCTGCGTCCAGAGCGCGCCTCGGGGCAGCCCCATCCGGGCAGGGTCCAGCCCAGATCGCGGCTCGGATTCCGGCAGCCGGTTCTGAACTCGCAGCGAGGCGGCGGGCTGTCAATCCGGATCAAGGGACCCCGGAATAAGAGGCTCCGGGGGGGGGCACTCACCGGCCTCTCCTCCTCCTCCTCCTCCTCCGGCATCAGGAGCCTCTTCCTGGCCCCCCCTCTGGGCGGGCGGCGATGCGGCGCGACGGGGCCCGGCTCCGCTTCCAGCTCGGGCTCCGACCGGCGCCTCTTCCTGCTGCGCGGCCCGGCCGGCGGGGGTCCGGAGGCGAGCGGGGTCCCCGGCGGAGCCAGCTGCGGCTCCTGCTCAGGGCCGTCCCCGTCGCCGCCCGGCTGCCCCGCCGCCCCGGCTCCCCCTTTGCGCCGCTTGGCGCCCCGCGGCCCCCCAAGGCCGGCCTTGCTCAGCGGGAAGAAGCGGGTCAGGCGGAGCTGCGCCATCTCGCCCGCCTGCCGATCGCTCGCCCGGCGCTACAATGTAGCCACTTTCGCGGGCCGGCTAAGCCCCGCCTCCCCTTTTCCCGCGCGGCGCTCTTAAAGGCGCCGCCGTCTCGCTGCCCCGCCCCTCCCAGACCCTGCGCGCCCCCCCGACCCTGCGCGCCCCCCCCCCCCGGGAGCCTCCGGATGCGCTGCTCGCTTCTCGGGGAGGCCGCGGGGGACAGTCGCGCTCGCTCGGCCGGCCCCCCGTGGTGGGGGGAAGCTGAGGTGACGATTGCAGCCGCTGCCAAGGGACCATCGCTCACATTCGGGCTCGGGGCAACGTGGGAAGTCCCCTCAGCGCCTTTGCCTTCGCCTTCCCTGGTTTTCTGCAACTTGTTTGTCTGGTTCAAGGAGGAGGCCGGGTTCAGACGGTCCTAGCCCGAGCCAGCGCACCCGGGTCAGGTCTCTGGAGCCAAGGGGCGCCCTCCCCGGACCCTCAGCCCTGGAAGGAGCCGACTGGAAACTTTTCTGGCCCTCCCGTACAGTAACTGCACTTCCCAAGTAGCCTGCCTCAGGCCTGGTTCACACGAACGACCTGATGCTGGTCTGTTAGTTTTGGGTTCAGTTCGGAATTTTGAAGGGCTTTGCAGAAGACCCTCTGAACACGCGTCAGGAAATTCCGCCCAGGACTGATTTCCGAGGAGGCCTCGGCGCCGCTCGCTAGTCACCCCGGGGCCGGCGGGGATGGCTGCTGCCCTCGTCCCTGGAGCGACCCAGCAGGATCCCTGTATGGGCCTCCGGAGCCTCTGCGGCTGGGAGCGAGAAGGCCGGCCTGGATTCCAGGTAAGGCCGGCCTGAGTCGGGAGGGGCGTTTCACCTGCAGGCGTTAAGATAGCGGGGGAGGCGGCTCCCCACGCAGGGCATGCATGGGGGGGGCTTCCCAACTCGAGGAAATCGCGCAAAGAAAGGGGGGGCCTTTGCCCCCAGCTGAGGTGCTGCTGGCCGCTTTTGGGCGACACAAGGGGGGCTCCTAAGGCGGGGGGGGGCTTGCCGCGGTCTGGAAGCTGAGCCCGAGGGAACCTCCAGGAAAGGCCCGGCTGAAAAGCACCCCTTTCCCGGTCACAAAGAACAGCAATGGGAGCATTTCAGGACTGCTGCTGAGGATAAACGAACTCCTTTCGCCTTAACACACGTGCCGGGCTCGCACGTGGGAACTTAGGCAGGGGTTTGCGAGAGGGCGAAAGCAGATGCTCCCTCTACCGCGGAGCTCAGGTGGGAAAACCAGGTATTAGGACGTGGCCGGGAGGAGGATCTGGCCTTTTGAGTAATATAGGGGGCACCTTCGGGTGCGGGGGGGGGAAGCAGCCCCCGAGCCTCGAGGGTGGGAGCCCGGTCTCCGCCTGATTTCATGCTAAGCAGCCGCCGCAACGCGCGTCAGGGCTTTGGAGGGTTTCCCCGCCTGGTTCCGATGTGTCGGGCTGGAGAGGGCGTCTCAGCGGGCACTAGGTGGTGCTGCCGCCCGGGGAATAGCGCCGAGGGAGGGGAGGGGGCGGCCCCGGCGGGTGGGCGGTGGCGGCGGCAGCTCCGGCCGGGCGGATCTGACCTGGCACGTGCGCGGCCAGAGAGAGCCGGGACGGCGGCGGCCGAGCGAGGCTACGCTGCGCGGAAGGCAGGCAGCTGCTGGGTCCGGCTGCGCTCGCTGCGGACAGAGCCGAGACCGCCCCCCGCTCCTCCCCCGGGGACGGGCTGAGCTCCCGCGGGCCGAAGGCGAGAGAGGCGGCTGGGCTCGGGTGGGGCGCGAAGCCGACGGAGCCGCCGTCGCACTGCGCCCAACCAGGCGCCGCTTCGGGACTCGGAGCACCGAGCCGGGACGATGCCGACGCCCGCCCGCCGACCCTGCGCATGAAGCCGCGCCGCGATGGAGCTGCGGGTCCTGTGCGGCGTCCTCTACTGGCTGCTGTTGCCGCTCTCGCTGCTGGCCGGTAAGCGGGGCCTTCCCGGGCCGGACGGGGGGCATCGCCAGCCTCTTTCGGCGCTTGGGCAGCCGGTGCCGGTCGCGCCCCATCGCACTCTGGCCGCGAGGCTGGTTCCTGCCTGAAGGAGCGGGACGGGGTGGAAAGACGCTGCGGACGGTCTGTCTCGGGGGGGGGGGCTGGACTAAATGACCTTTAAGACCCCCCCCGCGAGCCCGCAGCAGCGCGTTAGCTGCCATGTAAGCGCTGGAGGCTGGCTATGCCCCGTGAAATGGGGCGGCGCAACCCCCCAGCCGAGAGAAAGGCTGCGAACTTCCCGGTGGAGCGGGCGGCCGGGGGCAGGTCTGGCTGGACTTAGAAAAAAGCCGCCGTGGCAGTAGCTCCCCCCTCCCCCCTCCAAGGTTCTCCTTGGCCCTGCTGGCCGAGCGGCTGGGCAGTTGCGCTTCTCCGGGGGAGGATTTGTGTTGCACGCACGCCCCGTGTCTGGCTGTGCCAGCGGAGGCGGCTGCGGAGAAGGAAAGTTGTCATCCGGCCGCTCTTCCAGCTTGGGCTGCTGGAGCCCTTCCAGCCTGTTAAACCAACCCGGGAGGAATGTTGCCGGCGCTCAGGTTGGAGTCACCTGGGGGGAGAGGGAGAGTGGTTCAAAACAGTCTGGCTCCTGGTCGCTGCGGTTGTGCTGAAGCAGCCTCAGCCAGCCAGCCAGTCTGCTGGAAGTGCCCAAAAAAGTCGGGACAAAGGTTTTGCCGGTCAGCCCAGCAGCTCCTGGGATGAAAGTAATTGGCTGGGTAGGTAGGTGTGTTGCATGAAGGTAGCAATTAGGTGTGCTCCCATAGTGGTGAAACGTCTTGAAAGCTTCATACTTCCTATATTGCTTGTTGAAGGAACTGAATTAGTGGAGACTCACAGAAAATGGATTTTGCAGGTTGCAAAAAGCAAAGTCCCATTCTGGAGGCCCTCAGAATGAAACCCAATTGCTGGGATCATAAACCTCCCTTCAGATGCCTGCTGTGGTAGTGAAATTGAAGGGTCAGCACACAGATTATTAAGTCTGATGACCAGAGGCTGGGTGGAAAGGAAATGTGTGAACAGTGACCCTTGTGAGCTGACAGGGAAGAGGAGAGCCGTGGAGGGAGGGGTGATAGATTGTGTGTGAGATTTTGCATGGAGCAAGAGCTCCCCCCTGAAAGAATCCTGGAAGAAGAACTGGAAATTCCTGGGAGTCCAGGTGCCCCCAAATACAGCCCCACCCTCTGGGCTTGAAGGACAGGGGGTCTTCCCACAGCATCCTGCTCTGGCTGGCCACTGTAGAGAGAAGATGCAGGAAAGGCTAGAACAGCGGTTCTCAACCTGTGGGTCGGGACCCCATTTGGGGTCGAACAACCATTTCACGGGGGTCACCAAACAACGCAGTCCGCCATTTTTTTTCCCTTTTCCTTAGCTGTGCTACTCCCTTTTATTCTATTGGCTTTTGAAAGCCAATAGAATTAGACTCTATTCAAGAGAGTCTATTCTATTGGCTTTCAAAAGCCAGTAGGAATTGTCCAGGCTGTCTCTGCCCTGCTGAGCTCGCCAAAAGTCCCATTCTGCAAACGGTGCTGCACCAGTTGAGTAGTCCTCGACTTACGACCAGTTGAGTAGTCCTTGACTTACGACCGGTTGGGGGTCGCGGCATTAAAAAGGTTGAGAACCACTGGGCTAGAATGAGGGCCTATGGCCTTTCCAGCTGTGGAAAGCCAAGACCGGCAGACATCAAAGTGTGGATGGAGGTAGCCTTGCCTTCCCAGAGCTGAAGGGGAAGGCCAAAACCTGCAGGGCAGCAGAGGTAGGTCATCAGCCCACCCTCTGTACTTAATAGTCAGGGCTGCTTTTCTCTGTCTTTGGCACTATCAGCAATTCCAGGGAATTTCTAGAAGTCTGAGCTATTATTTCCCAGGACATTGTTCTACCAGTGTTTCTCAACCTTGACAATTTTAAGGCATGTGGACTTCAAACTCCCAGTGCTGGCTGTGGAATTCTGGGAGTTGAAGTCCACATGCCTTAAAATTGTCAAGGTTGAGAAACACTGTAAAAAAAGAAGTGAATTCCCCAGGGATGAGGAGGCCTTGTTCAGCGGCCTCCTGTTTCCTTGTTCAGTGGCCGTGAATTCTTTCCTGTTTAGCAGGTGCAACCAGTTTTTCACAGGCACTTCTGCTCTCCCTCACTGGGGTTGCACCGGAGTTAACGGGGTGTACAGCCTTGGGGAGACGGGGCCCTGGCTTGCATCACGGAGACGGCTCGTGAGCTTATGTTGTTTGTGTGATGATCCCTTTTCCTTACATCTGTCTTAAAACTGGCATATGCACGTACACACACTCAGGTATGTGAACCTGAGTATCCCAAAAGCGTCTTTTGCTGAAATCTGTTGTGAAACAAGATGATGCAAGTTTCTTAGTCTGCCTCTGACTCCATTTGAGGATTATTCTGATTGGGAACAATCTGTCCCATTAGAAGGCTTGGCTTTACAACAGTCCCCTCCCCACCCCCATGTCTGCCTTAATTTTCCTGGCTTCTCCTTCCAGGTCTAAGGGCAATGAACGAGTCCATCCAAAGGGACTTTTTTTCCTCTCTTTCTCCCTCCCCCCCCCCTACACATTAGGCGGCCTGTGTTTGAAAATCCGTGTGCAGCCAGCCTGTTTACACAAATATTTAACCAACACATATATCCCTGCCATTCTTGGACTGTTATGAAGGCACAGCTGCCAGTTTATACAGCAACAACAGTAGGAAGAAGGGAGGGGGGCTGTGTCCCTCCAGGTTGTTCAAGCAGGAACGTCTTTGGGGTTCTCCAATGGTGAATGGCTTGGGTTTCTTCAGGTGTGCTACTGATTTGCCTCGGCCCTGGTGGACATTCCATTTATTCTGGCTGCGCAAGGCGTTTTTAATCCTGCCTGTTGAAAAATGGTTGCATGGTTACATATTGGAAAAAAGGAGACTGCCAATACTTCCTTCTCCTCCCCACGAACCCCAAGTTCTTTGCAAATGGTGGTGCTTTGCTTCTCACCGAGAAACCTGTTTTTCAGCAATAACACATTTTCTAAAGTG